CCGGACTGGCACAGGTTTCATCCTCACAGTCGGCACATCATCATCACTAGAGTCGTCATCCTCGACAGTCGAGCTGTGGGCTCCCGGATCACCCACTACATTGTTCAACACCGATAAATCTAATAGAGTAGGTTCCCTACCTCTACGATCACGTTTTACCTTTTCTAACAGCCTATCATATGCTAAGAGAAGTTTAGTTTTGAAATTGGCTACTGCCTTTTTATTATCTTCTGATGTCGCTTTAGTTCTATTAGCCCGGCCAATGCTATGAGCTACTTTCGTCACTATGAGCTTGAATTTACTATCCATATCTGTCCCAACGAATTCATCTACCAATTTTTCTATATTAGCGAGATTCCCTGTTAAAGCTGTTGAGTCTTCAGCAAAAGAAAATGGATAAGTTGGCGTTTGCATTGCTAAAGCTGTGTTGTCAAGTTGCACCGCGCTTCGATAAACCGTCCTAAGTTCCGCGACAGTTAAATCAGCACCCTCATCCAGACCACGAACTTTCATTTCATAAACCAATTCATCTTTACTAAGTCTATTCACCTCGATCTTCAGCTTGGAAGTAGCCATTATGAAATTAACTCAACGTATCTTTCGCACTAACAATAACAACCACACTAGTTTGTACTCCAATAAAAAAAATCAGCAGGCACAATCTATTTGAAACCCAAGGACACTCATGAATAATCGGACATCAGCAGGGATCGAAAAATAGGCCAGAAAATCTGAATATTTTGAACACGACGCCTGGCGTCGGTAGGCGTCGTGACTCAAAACGATTGAAAAACAACTAAATACTTATATCTGTTGCAAAGGATACCTGAAAATATATATATATATTCAAGAAAGACGCTCGGCGTCGATAAGCGTCAAAAAGAAACAAAATCAACAACTAATTATTGATATCTGCTATGAACTAAACTCAAAAATATCATTATTTCGAAAACGACGCTCGGCGTCGGTGGGCGTCGTGTCTCCGAAATTATCAAAAACTATTCAATATTGATATTTCATGCAACATATGCTCGAAAACACCAATATTTTGAAAACGACGCTTGGCGTCGGTGGGCGTCGCAACTTCAAAATATTCAAAAACAACTAAACATTGATATGTTATGCAAAATATGCTCGAAAATACAAATATTTCAGAAACGACGCCTGGCGTCGGTGGGCGTCGCAACTTCAAAATTATCAAAACCAATCAAATATTGATATGTAATGCAAAATATGCTCAAAAATGCCAATATTTCAAAAACGACGCTTGGCGTCGGTGGGCGTCGCAACTTCAAAATATTCAAAAACAACTAAATATTGATATGTCATGCAAGATATACTCGAAAATACCAATATTTCAAAAACGACGCTGGGCGTCGGTGGGCGTCGCTACTTCAAAATATTCAAAAACGACTGAATATTGATATGTCATGCAAGATATACTCGAAAATACCAATATTTCAAAAACGACGCTGGGCGTCGGTGGGCGTCGCACCTCCAAAATTATCAAAACCAACTAAATATTGGTATTTTATGCAAAACTAGCACGGAAATACCAATATTTCAAAAACGACGCTTGGCGTCGGTGGGCGTCGGTTGTCAAATGTCAACAAAAGGCCCCACGTTGGGCGCCAAATTTATGCGACGTCTTTTTACCTGTCAAAAACCTATGGACTGCGGAATGCGTTGCATAAAGGAAGATTGCCCCCTGCTCAATACAGAGAGTTTGGGGTGGGTGTATTTTTATATTCATATACGAATGTAAATGGGCGCCACTAATTTATTACCGCGAGCCTAAATTAGAAAACCCCCAGATCTAAAAAGGAATCCATATGAAAACTGGTTTTTGCTAGCGCCAAAGTTTTACCACAACGCAAAAACAATAATAATACTTTGCCAAATAGTAAGTAGCAAAATAAATGACCTTGTGGATAACCTGGAGCTCAGTGTAGGAAGAGTTGAAGAATTTAAATAAAGAATGCACGTTTGGATCGACTGAAATCTATAATATAAAGAAAAATTTGTTTCTATAATGATAATAATAAAGAAAAAAAAGGTTTATTAATTCAACTATCATGAGTGATTTAGTTATCGATTTCTTCATGAATCATTTCCTGCGAAACGTAATGATCCCTAGGGGCTAGATGAGTAATTTCGTAGAGCGCATATACCTTACGTGTACACGTAGAGTTTACAGGCGCGTGGTGATACAAAAAAAAGGTCAATTGTTATTTCTGAGTCCCCAGCAGAAAAATATACACTACGCAAAAAAAGAAATCGGCTCTATGATTGATAACCCTAATAAAGGTTGTGCAAATATAAATAAACAGAAATTTCCTAACTATGTAGGTGCAATTTAAAGTCCAGTCTTTACGCAATAATGATATGGACTTTTCCAAACAATGTTCCACAATATGACATCACAAACAGAAAGAAAAACATGCAGCTTATCTGGCTATCAGGTGCAGGTGGAAGTTCTTCAACTCTCCTACTATCCAAAAGTCCAATGCATCCAGCGTTCCACAAGTTACGTGAGAGACCGGCAGCTTCTTAAAGATTGGCCGGACAAAAACCTCACACAATACCGGTAGGTGATTTATACGTATGAACCCTACACTACGAACTAGGGACTCGAACCCAGGATTAGGACCCTAAAATAAACAGAAAAATAGTGTCAACACCTATATACTCGTTTGGCATCGGCATCGATACACAAAGGCAACGATTAAAAAAACTGTCATTACCTCACTGGAGGGTCTGTCACTGACACTGACGCAGCCCAAATATCAAAGATGATGAATTGATAAAATCAGTTAGCCCTGATCGTCTGGGGCAATCTGTAATGAATAATTCATTGATTCCTAACTTGAAACAAAACTAGCTGGGAAAGCGTACTTACAAAAAGATAAGAAGTGATGAAACGATAACGAACCGGAATCCCTGTAACAGGCATCAATTTCCACCAAAGTATCACGAACACTCCACTTGAGTAGACCACACAATAAAAATTGATTTGGTTTATAGTTACACGATTATTAATCCCAAAAACTTGGCTGAATGAAAATCAGAATTTCGTGTATCTATTTCGCACGTTGTTCATTCACTTCTCGTGAAATCTTTTCGTTTTCGCGATGAAAGAATTCGATCGCTATGCCTAGCATTTTCAGTTCGCACAAAAAGTGGTTATTTTGTTGCTTGTTTCTTTGCTCGTTTCGTCGCTCTGACGGATGATATTCTCATATACAGGGTGATCAATGTAATTACCTAGTATTTGACTATTTATAAATGATATTGTTGTAACTGTCAAAATAGACTGTTACAAATTTTCATTTTGTTCACTTCGGCGATATAGTCTTTCCCTGCCATCTATTGAATTGGTGCAGATGCGGCTCTCATATCGTCGCTGTGAAATCAAACCGGCGTATCTGCAGAATTACCATTTTTCACCAGAGCGTTTCAAATGTTTTCTACTCGATTATTTCTGTATATCTACTTGTCTTTCTTCTCAGAGCTATCTTTTTTGTACATAAAAATGAGTTGGGTTTTGCTTGTAGCTGCATCGGTGGAAAATAACTAGAAAATTGTCTGGTAGCAGAAAAATATGCAGATATGTCGATATATGACTTGAAAGTTCAATATATGGGTTCAATTTGCAAAAGTTCCTGGATAATCTGCCAATAAGCCACATCGAAGCCACACCTGTGCAGATTAGAGAGAGTAGTATTGTGACATAATTAGGTCCATGGTGAAAATATTATATGGTGTGCTACTCAGGTAGCTTGAATTCATTCGTTCGCACCAAAATGATTACGGCGGCTCGGGCGAACTGATAACTGAGAGCTCAGACTGTGAGCAATTGTTTTACTCGCAGTGACGTATACGAAGATGCGTCGTAGCACACCATACTATAATTTCACCATGATTAGGTCTTATACATGCTGCAGTTACTTCCACCACGACCTCTTATGCTGGACTGACGCATAGGGCAATATACCTGTTTACTGCTTATAAAGATACTGAATCCCGCCAAAATTCAAACCGACACAACGCTACCTGACGAAGCACAATAATTGCCGGTTTGTATTGTTCAAAGAGGAGAAATAATAAATGATTTTTTTGATACCAATAACTCAAAACTGCCTTCTCTGCAGATATGCCGATTTGATTTTACATCGACGATATGTTAAAAGAACATTGGCCCACTGGTCATTTTCAATTAATGCTACAGCCCTCGCCACATCAGTAGGAGTCAAATCTCTCACGTTGAATTTTCATTAATCAAATTTATGAATTGTGAATCGCTTGACTTTGACAATAATTAATGACATTAACAAAATAGCCAACGTTGATTAACAAAAATAGCATTTCACCAAAAGAACATTGGAACATTGGAACTCTTATCACCCCTGCATATTCATGAGAGTATTCGTATATGTGTCTTTAAACAGGAAACCGATAGGTAAAACTGTGAACAATTCTCATCTTGAAGTAAAAATCCTCACAGAAACAAGTTGAAAAACGACACGTTCTCCCCAGTTCGAGTTTCGAGGTGATAAAATTAATCCAATATCCACCTCTTCTTTGAAACTCTATATTTTCTTTGGATAATCGGGATATCAAGATGAATAAAGAACGAAAATATTCGGGATAGATTGGGCTATAATTTGGTGTTGGAGAATCGTTTCAATTATCAGTGGTTCACTCCACAGGATGTCTTAAAGAATACCGAAAAATCCGTACTTTCTTTACACCCCTGTATATGATATAAAGACGAATCGTTTGGAGGTGGTTATTTCTCAGATGTATTCGTGAAGAATGAAGCTACAATTCGTGAAAAACAAATTTGAATCGAGTGATCGGTTCGAGAGAAAATTGATGTCAAACTTAGTGTAAATTTTACCCGTTCCCCTAATTGTGCCAGTGTGTGTAGTTGGAATTCGTGCTATGAAATGATGAAATAAAATTTTTCACTGAAACTAGCCCATCTCCTCCTGTTTCAGCCATGCCCTCGGACAAGAAAGAACCACCCAACAAACCCGACACCGAGGACATCATATCCTCCGCTATCGGCGAATTCGGTAGATGGCAACTCCTGCACACTTTCCTCCTCTCCCTCTTCAACATCCCCTGCACGTGGCACATCTTCATCCCCACCTTCCATGCGGCCGAACGGTTGGTATGGTGCGCCAGGCCCGAAAAGTTCCGAAACGTCGCGCCCCACCTGTGGATCAACTGCTCGGGCCAATCCGACGCCGAGTACTGCTCCACCACGTGGAGGGGGGACGCTGCAGAATGCCCCCCGTTTGGCGAGGGGGGGAACTTCAGCGGGACGGCGGCCTGCGACCGGTGGGAGTTTGCAGGGGAAGGTTCGTATTTGACAATATTTTTTTCTGCTAGCGTCCGCGGAGTAGTACTTTTGCGCATGCATCTTCGTGCCTAAAGTTGCGCTCTTTCGCACGACGTGCACACAGGTCTTCGTATGTTTTTTTCAGCGTTTCCATGGAAGAGAGTTTGCTTCTCCTCAGCAGATCCAACACGATGTGCTGAGACAATTTCTGAAATCATCATGTTGGGGATGCAAACCTACATACCGAACACTGCAAGGAGGACATCTTCCGATGAGACCTGGTTCAGCAGAAACTGCTCTAGATCTGTCGCTTCCAAACAGGCAGCATTCCATCGATGGCAGAAAAATCCAGGCCCTGAGACTAAAGCAGAATATGTCGAGGCTAGAGGCATATGCAATGAGACAATTTGATCATCAAAGAATGCTAATAATGCCAAAATAAGATCAAAACTTGTTGAATGTCCAAACGGATCCCGTTCATTTTGGTTCTATGCCAAAGCTGTAGAAAGAAATTTCACTTCCAGCTCGTTTCCTCCTCTAACCAAGGAAGATGGAACACTGGCCACAACTGTCCAGGAGAAAGCCAACATTTTTGCGAATTTGTTTGCTGAAGATTTCACTCTGGATTCATCGGGAAAACAGCCTCCTAACATAACGCAAATTGACAGTCATGTGCCCGAGATCACCTTTCGCCAACGTACTATAAGGAAGATTTTATTGGGTCTCAACACCAACAAAGCTTTTGGCTACGACGGAATCCCACCGATTGTTCTCAAGAAATGTGCTCCCGAACTAACACCTGTTCTCTGCAAATTGTTCAACTACCCTTACAAATTGGGGATATTTCCGTCCAACTGGAAAATTGCAAGAGTACAACCAGTTCCTAAAAAAGGCAAAAAGACCCTACCTAGCAATTACAGACCGATCGCACTGCTATCTATTATTTCAAAGATCATGGAGAGAGCTATCAACATCGAGCTCATGAAATACCTGGAACATTCAGGTATTATCAACGATAGGCAATATGGCTTCCGTCATCAGAGATCAATTGGTGACCTGCTCGCTTACGTCTCACAAATATGGCAGCAATCTATTGAAAAATATGGTGAAACCTTAGCCGTGGCACTTGATATCTCCAAAGAATTCGATCGAGTCTGGCACCACGGACTTCTCGCCAAGCTTCCATCTTATGCTTATGGCTTGCCTCCCCAGCTATGTTCTCTGCTAGCTAGTTTTCTCTCAAACAGGTCTCTCCATGTAGTGGTCGACGTTGTTTCATCTGACTCTCTTACCATAAATGCTGGTGTTCCGCAAGGATCAATTCTAGCACCAACACTATTTCTACTCCATATCAACGATTTGTTGGAAGCAACTTCATGTCCAGTATACAGCTTCGCGGATGATAGTACCCTCCATACCGCCTTCTCTTCCAGGACTCCAATACCAGCCAGGCAAATCAGAAACGAACGAGGGAGAAATGGTGACAACATAAATATTGACTTGGCAACAATTCTCGAATGGGGATCCAATAACTTGGTAGATTTCAATGCAAACAAAACACAAGCATGGCTTTTCTCTAGAAAAGCCGATTTCACTGTGCTAAATATAAGCATTTCAGGATTAACCATACCTTTGAAGACATCCATTTCGGTGCTTGGTATTACTATCAGCAATAACCTTTCTTCGGAAAATCACGTTAGATCAATTGCTGAAAGTGCATGCCAAGAACTTGGTTTTCTGTTTCGGGCCAGGAGCCATTCCACTTTCAATCAGCTGATTATGATCTATAAGGCACAGACCTGCAGAACATCTCTTCCCAAAGACTCGTTCATCCAACGAACAGCGAGCCTCTGGAACAAATTGCCAAGGGAGGTGTTCTCCGAGGCATATAACCTACAGAAATTCAAGAAGAACACCAATTCCTACCTTATTTCCCTTGGTTCTCACGATGTTCTCTGAACATTACAGGGTATCCCTTTTCGTGGGAACCAGAACATAAAAAAAGATGGGTGTTCTTTTGTGATAAAAACTATACAACGAAATTTCCAGAGCGTAAATTTAATGAGCGAAAAACCTTGAGAGCGAACAATCTAAATAGCGTAACAGTCACAGCGAAAAATAAAAGAGCGAAATTTTGATGACAATATTTTTCTGCAAAATAGTTCACTTACTTGTGGGGAAAATCAAAAAATGTCGAAACTTTGAAAACTAACCCCATCAGAGTAATCAATGATATGGAAAATCCGGAATATCATAATAATAATAATATCATTTATTCAAATCGAATCTCTATTTAGTACATAACATAGTAATGATAAAGAAATTATTGATGAATAAATGAACATACTCGATAAATGAATGAACATTTGTTTCGAGATGAAGAAGAAAAAAAATATGATAAGGACCTTAAATAATACATGCCTTAAATAATATGAAATTGACAATGAAAATATATTAGAATTTGAATTATATTTGTGCGAAAGTATTTTTGTATGATACATTTGCATCACATTGTATAGTGATTAATATTTTACAGGTAATAATCATCATTAGCGTGGAATGATCTGTGATATAATACATTCTCGATTGAATAATTATGAAATGTGAAGTTAGCTAATTAATCTTGATAATATTTCAAATACAACAGACATATATTTTTTTGATTTTTTTATCGTATTATTGAAGATTGAGACATTTTTATATGATATCTTTATTTTTAATTATTAACATCATAAACGTACCAAATCCTACCAAACCTTAGCTACTCATAATACATTAATTGCCATAATTTAATACGTTAGTTACGAAAGCATAATACGTTAGATACCAAATAATATTAGAACAAGATTTCATGAACATGTAAAAACAGATAAATAGTTATTTATGCAACAAGTGCAAAAAGTGAATGTTTATTGCATTCGACGTGAAATTGTCCGACGAGGCCGTTAGGCCGAATGCAATAAACAATTTTTGCACGAGTTGCATACAACATTTTTTCTACGTTCATGCAAAAAGCAAAAAATGATTTATTGAGATGCGGCACTAGGTACAATTCTGTTAATTGTCAGAATTAATTTTTGACTGACGTTTCTATAACCACAGTTGCATTTTAGAAAATGTTTGTCATGATGACAGCACGTTGAAGTAAAATGACAGATGAGTGCAATAAAAACTTTATTGCACTAAGTGCAATAAAGAACTTCTTTTTCCCCTAAATATAGTTCAATAAAGTTCTGTTTTTTGCATGAATGTAGAAAAACAATATTTTGACAGTTTTCAAATTTGATGAATACTCCTTTGCTTTTAGCGTCCACGGTCATAGGTGAGTCATAGGTATGTCCTCTGAAGCATGATTAATGACCGATCAAGCACTCCTTTCGATTTCGTGCGGTTCCTCAGTGCTTAATACACAGCCGGAAACATCGCCGATTTGAATTTTGCGAGCAATGGACACTTTTTTGGTCACACTTTCTTCTAAATACCCACCAGCAACCTTCGCCGATTCCCATCCACCAAGTTCTTGTAGGTCTAATATATCTCCTCCAGCATTAACAGGCAGATTTGCCAAAGATCTTCCAACGCAGTGACCAGAATACATATTAGGATTTTCAAGTGAGAGATACTTAGCTATTTTTTGAGGAATTTTAGAGAAGAAATGAATGCCGCAAGGCTGAAGCGTACATTACCCTTTTCTGTATGATACACAATCTTCGATCTTCGGTAACATATGGACTGGCCTTAATGTTGCGTACTCTTTTAATGAAAGCACAGGATTGACTTCGCCGTCAGATGCCACAGCGAAAATCTGTTTCTTGTGGGTTTTTGAGTCGGGGATAGTAGCAATCAGCTTGTCCTCTAAAACGTCAACATCTTCCGTGGTCATCTTCGCTGATTCATTGGTTCGACAGGCTCCTCCAATTCCAATTAAAAAAGCCACTTTCATCATTGAAAACTCCTCGTCTGGGGCAGAACGCACAAACCCGTATTGGCACAGGTGCCGTTCGATAAACTACAATGTTTTTACATTCCTTTGGGACATAAATCGTTTTGTTACCCGATGACAGTCGAAATGTGCAGCCGGCTTCCCTACTATAACAAGGTCATTGTAAACCCTATACAGCACTAGTCTGTTAGTCACCTGTGCAACTAAACACTCATTGACAGCACCCACTGTAATCGCAGCAAATTTTATGTGGGGTGATACCCCAAAAATCTAGAAAATTCACTCTGCTTAATAATCGATCCACCATGATTCAACCTTGATACCATCAGTATTGGTATCAGTACACCTGAAAGTTTTGTAGCTCTTCACTTGCAGGTTCGACCATCATCTCCGATTTCGAATTGGTCTGCGACAGAGCCAACCTGATCAGAGTAGGCGAGATGATGTTCCTGGCCGGCGTAGCAGTAGGAGGATTAGTCTGCGGTATCCTGTCGGACAAATACGGAAGAAAGCGCACTCTGATGGTCTCAGTTTTGATCCAAAGCGTAGTCGGTGAGTCATGAGCCTTCAAAATCTCCCCAAGAAGAAATAGCTCAGTAAATCGGTAACGATTAGGACCCAATGCGGGAAAAAATTCAAGTAGTCGGTTTCTCTGTGGTTTTATATGTTATTGGAGGTGCTGATAGACGGAGAGCCAGAGCCAAAAAGATACTCTGAATTCACTAAGCCTAGTTTTTTTACAATTTATTACAGTGGTTTTGTACACAAACATACTGCGGTCAGTCAAGCGAAACTGAGAACAGGTGTCCCTGGTATACTATTGAAGTTGTCGTTCGTACAGAGGTAATGCAATGAATTTATTGAGGCTGAAAATCATTATACACATTGTATATTGCATAGGAATGAAAGTTATGAAAGTCAGTCAGCTGACTGTGGGGACGGAAGCTGATGGTTAGTCAGCCCCAGTGTATGCAAAAAATAAATGAATTGCAATTCATTTACTACACTTCAAAATTTTTGTGAGGATATTTGTTGTTATATCAATCGTGGAAAAAATGGTCAGTCATCGATTCTGCGGGACGACGGTCAGTCAGCAAAAAAAGAAATACAAATTTCGCGCGCGCGATCGCCGTTGCAGGCAACGAAATCGATTGATTAGGCCATTTATTGATTATAATAATAATAATAATAATAATAATAAATTTGTTTATTTTCCTTCTTCCTTTTACAACACAAAAAAACAACATTATACATACATTATAATCCAATAGATAATACTGAACTTTCAGTATATTATAATATACAGGGATTGACAAAGGTATGGAACCATGTTAATATAATAATAATAATAATTTGCCTTTATTTGTTCTCACAAAAAAAAACAATAATACCGAGGGCAAATGGACGAAGTCTAGTCATGACCAGACGAATCCAGTCAATTCCTACTCAACTTAACCCCAAACTGAATAATCATATCATTCTATTCAGAAAGTGAAATTTTATACCTGAATATTAATTATATAGCTAAACATTAATAACTTATCATTTGCCTTGTGGCAATGAATGCAGAATTCATTCCAATGATCAAATTGCAACTATCATATCAACATGAACTACGAACACTCTACTCAAAAAGGTATAACTGCATTCATCATGATATTCATCATGAAGATATTTGACTAAAAAGTTCCAAATTTCACCTTCTTTTTCACCTGTCTTCTGGATGGCATTTAGAACAAATTTCCCTTCTTTTTTCATCATATTGGACAATTTATATATAATTCAACTATAAATATGATTTTCTTGAGATTAATCCATATTTAATGAAAAGAAGGATGATTATCATTCAAAATAATGGCGTGTGTAATGTCATTCGAAAGCAATCTATTGACATTTGATATCTCGTATTTTGATTGACTATTGATTAAAAAAATGGTCGTCATCTGGAGCTTGTTCACTAAATATGAAAAACTCGCCATAAAAATCATATTTCCTGTTGAATTTTCTATATAAAAATGTGCCATCGAAGTACATCACCATAAAAATCATATTTCCTGTTGAATTTTCTATATAAAAATGTGCCATCGAAGTACATCATGAGTATATAAAGTGTCCAATGATAAAATAAGAGCAAGTAGCTTCAAATGCCCCCAACACAAGGGGAGAAAGAAGGTGAAATTTCGAACTTCTTCTTGAAATATCTCAATAATACCGAGGGCAAATGGGCGAAGTCTAGTCATGACCAGACGAATCCACAGTCAATTCCTACTCAACTTAACCCCAAACTGAATAATCATATCATTCTATTCAAAAGGTGAAATTTTATACCTAAATATTAATTATATAGCTAAACATTAATAACTTATGGACTAAATAATTCCATATAATCAGTAAATGAACTATAAATAAAAAATATAAAAGCAACAACAACAAATTCAATACGATAAATACCTTATTATATCATCCCCATTCATATGATAGAATCAACAATAATTTCAATGAGTTATCTCGATAACGGTATGTTAGATTGTTGTGAATATATGTACAGAGTGATTTCAAATTATGGCAGATTCGAAAATTTTCTCACCTATGTTGCCACGTTTTCAGTTTCTCCGGAATTATTATGAACTTCCTTATTATGAACAGAACATCCTGTATTTTAAATAGTGGGTTGATTCCATGAGAAGTGAGACACACTGTATAATTTACTGAATGTTCAATATTATCTATCGAATTATAATCAAGTAATGGCCTAATCAATCGATTTCGTTGAATAATCATGCAACAGCTATCGCGCGCGCGAAATTTGTATTTCTTTTTTTTGCTATCTGACGGGCGTTGTCCTGCAGAATCAATGACTGACCATTTTTTTCATGATTGATATAACAACAAATATCCTCACAAAAATTTCGAAGTGTAGAGTGTAGTAAATGAATTGCAATTCATTTATTTTTTGCATACATTGGGGCTGACTGACCAGCTCCCGTCTCCACATTCAGCTGACTGTTTTCATAACTTTCATCCATATGCAATATACAATGTGTATAATGATTTTCAGCCTTAGTAAATTCATTGCATTACATCTGTATGAACGACAACTTCAAAATAGTACACCATGGACACTTGACTGACCGCAATATGTTTGTGTATACAAAACCATTGTAATAAACTGTGAAAAAACTAGGCTTAGTAAATTCAGAGAATCTTTTTAGCGCTGGCTCTTAGACTATGAATTCGAATCTGAATTTTGCAAACAAAATTTCCTGGAGCGATAGGAGATATACTTTTTTCGGTTTTTCTCCCGTAACTCGGAAATCATACATTATATCGAAAAGACCGCCCTATAAAAGGTTGAAGTAGATGAAATTTCCTAGATAAAATTGTTTCTGCTTATGAATGTAGGACTGAAGGGTGCGGAGATAGAGCCAGTTGAAAATTGACCAAATTTGGGTACCTTTGGGCATCAAATTTCATATCGAGCTCATGTAAATTTCGTCAATATGAAAAATATAATTTGGATCATATATCATTAAAGCTCTAAAACGTATAAATAGGTCATTGTTTTGTTTTTGTATTCTCTGAGGTGGGGAACAAAAATAAATGAATTCTGTACGCTGGAATTATACTTGTTATAATAATTGTGATACAATAATTCCAAATGCTATAGGATATACTTTGAACATTTTGATAAAAAACTGATGAACTATTCAAATTATCAAAATTACCTATTTTGTGATGAATAAGTATAAAAATCAATTCTCGCTCATGTGGGTTCCAAGTGTCAAGGGAATGAGGCAGCTGATCGCCTAGCAAAAAAGTGTAGAGCTCACATTTTACCTTCCTGTGAGAAAAGCAAATGCCACCTTATCACAGGTTAACAAGCATTCGCCGTAAATTCGCCGACAGTGAAGGAAACTCTTCTAACTATATTTTCTTCAAATGTCTGACATTTCTGATATTCGTTGCTAGGAAACTTGATTTTTCTACTCCGTTAACGAATAACAAGAGGCAGGTAAGGAAAACTAGAGTTATTGGATATTAGTTTGATAAGAGTTCGGACACAGAAATGACAACAATTAGGGTTTTTGAATGTTTAGATTCATAAAGTTACACACCTTGTATTGTGACAAGAGCACCATAGTCGTCCGGCGCTTTCTCATTCAAAATTTTTCGAATTTGACAATTCATTATATAAACGTCAGAATTGAAATAAAATATCATAATTATTATACTTTCGAGATAAAAGCAGCTATGGAAATCACTTGCTGTATAATAAATTGTGCCAATTTTGAAACAAATGGATATCATTTATTCGATTTTCCAAATCAAATATCAAGCATTCGCTTATGGAAGGAAGATATGAAAAGACCTGGGTGGAAAATCAATTTGAAGACGAGCGGAATTACTCATTGAAACTCACTTCTTATAACAGCATCTGATTAGAATGAATCTATTTTTTAGGCCCATTTTCAAACAGAAGATTTCAAAATCTGCTGTTCCATCAATTTACAAAGCAGACGATTTCAAGAACAATAGTTATTTATTATACAAGGGAAAAAAGTAGTAGATTTTAGCTCCAGGTTGTGTTGTCTCCCGACGCGTAGCGGAGGGAGACAAAAAACCGTGAGCTAAAATCTGATATTTTTCCCGTGTATAATACACTATTTTTTTCTGTGACAGAAGGAAGGACGAATCAATATTGAGAAAATATTACATTATTTCGAAATCTGAAAATTATCGACGTGAAATTTCAAGTTTTTAGTAGTAGGGACACCTGCGTTTTATAGGCATCTTTATCATTCTTTTGAAGTAATCAAATATCTGATGTCACTTCTGTCAGTTCAATTCTATGATTTGATTTCGAAAAATTGCGAATTCAGTAGTTTTTTAGTAATATACGAAACCGCGAAGTCGAATGGAAGATAAAAGGACTTGCAGTTCTTTCTCGGAGACGGTATTATTGACTCATTTTTCGGAACTATATAGCACAGCAAAAGCCATCAACAGTGTATATATGTATATGTGACATATATCCGGGAAAAAAGTACTCACTTTTTTCCCACGGGAAAAAAGTAATTTATGAAAAGTGACATTTTATAACCTGCCAACAGAGATGAAATGCCAAACTTTTTTCCCGTCACAGAAAAAAAACAATATTCTTCCTAGTTGATGTGAATATACCTGAGTACAGTCATGAGTTACATGCTGAAAGAGGTAAGAATTCGCATGTCTAGGACTCTTCCACATCAGGCAGTATAAATAGTTCGTTTCTTCGAGGAATGCGTAGTTTTGGAATTATCTGCGAAAACCGACTATTTTTTGAAAAGTACGCAAATTTGGTCAATTTTCAACTGGCTCTATCTACGCACTCGTTAGGCCTACATCCATGAGCAATAGCAATTATATTTAGGAAATTTTATCTACTTCAACTTTCTATAGGGCGGTCTTTTCGATATATCGTATAATTTCCGAGTTACGGGCAGAAAAACGAAAAAAGTCCGAGAATTTTGCTGTTTTTTGCGAATATCTCGAAACGCTCCAGGAAATTTTGTCTGCAAAATTCAGATTCGTATTCAGCACCTCCAAAAATACATGAAACCACAGAGAAATCGACTACTTGAATTTTTCCCAAGTGAAAATACCATTTGATTGGACTAAAATATCAACAAGGATTTTATTTCGTTTGTAGGCACCATCATAGCCTTCAGCCCTTGGTTCTCCTTATACGCCATCTTCAGGGTGATCCTCGGTTTTATCTCAGTTTCCGTGGTGTTCAGCGGGTTCGTCTTGTCCATTGAGCTGGTAGGAGGGGAATGGCGAACCGTGGCTGGTATCTCCTATCTCTTTCCGGTGTCTCTCAGCTATATGATCATCGCTGGAATAGGTTATCTGCTGAGAGATTGGCGACACTTGCAGCTGGCCATATCTCTACCAGGACTGCTGTTCCAGATATTGTGGTAAGAAAAATGAATACGACAAAATGGAAGCTCTTGTAGGAATACTCTGATGATTCAACTAGGAAAAAGCCAAATATTCAAAGTGGAATGCAATGGTTACAAATAGAGAGAAACTCGAAGTCATTACCACAATAGCTCTATCGGTAGACCGGTTTCGAACTGTTGGCTCAGTACAGGGCTGTCCCAAATAGCTTATTGACCGCTATCTGGGGCGAACCTGACCCAACGTAAACGCATCTCAGCACAATGAACTGAATGTAAACAACTGGAAGGGACCCACTGTGAACGACAAGTGAGGCAAAAATATTTTTCAGGCAATCCGCAGTGTTTACGGATACCTATCACTCTCTATCTTGTGTTGGCTAATGGGAAGCGCTCGCATAATTTGAAATATTTTCTCGTTTTTTGCTTATATTTAAGAGTAAACGTGATTAAATAAAAATATTCATTGAGGAAAAAGGATAATGTTGTAATCAATTATCATTAAAAAATTATTACTGATTTTTTTATTGACTTTGAAATGATATTTCAATCTCACTCTCACAAGATCAGGAAGTCAAATGAATACAAAATTGAAATTATATATTTTTATTCAAATGTCACAATATATTGTACAGGGTGAGCGAAGCACAATGTCTCAGAACTATCAGAAGGAAAAGAAAAACGATAGGAAAAATTTGAGAAGCGGTTCTTGAATGGTATCGAGTGCATTTTGAGCATAATTTCCATAGGTTCCTATACCTCCTTCCTACTTCTGTCATATTTGAAATCTTTAGGTCTCTCCTTATTACTTTATGTCTCAGTGTCTTCACTTTTCTCCTCAAAACAATATATTTTATTGATAAACTCCGAAACTTGTGAGCTGGAAGTGGTAGGCAAGTCAAAGTCAATAAAATGGGAAACTTATTCTTCCTTTGGACCTAAGTTATGAACGTCCACAGATATGCATCCTGAAAACAAATCACTAGCTAATTTTTTTTTATTTTAAAGAGGTGAAAACATACTTTTTTTTCATTATTAATCAACTATAGGTACCTATGAGTTTTCTTATTTTCCTGGGGAAATCAGCATTTTTTGGTAACAAATGCTGAGGAAATGAGAATATACTGAGTACAGCATCTGCTTTCAAAAACCTAGCAGTACCTGGTATGCTTAAATAATCTATTGGCAGGAAATGCTCCCCACAATGTTTGCTGCTTTTATTTGGAGTCCAATTCTCTCTACGAACTGCCTTTATCCATAATTCGAGAATATCTGGTCTTTTGAATGGAAAGCTGCAACAAATAATATTACTCAATATCAATATGGAAGTATTTAACTTTGACAAATAATATAGGTATAGTTTTTGAACATATTCTGAGACTGGGAACATTGTATACCTAACTGGATGATCATTTCAAGAACTATATTTTTCAAAAATCTGAGAACAATATTCAACTTACCCATGGAATGCCAATTCCCTTTTTTCTTGTTCGTTCTTGCATCCAAAGGCGACACAATAAATCACCATTCTTCATCAATATAGTTCACAAACCTTCTCAACAATCAGTTCAGTGTTCACAACAACAAATTCAGTCCTTTTGATACAACAAAACACGCCAAATGAATAGATATTTCACCTTGTATTTCACATAAACGAAGACAATGAACTTATGTCTTCACTTTCTTGCCTGTGTAGATGAGAGAAAAAAATCTTAGCTACTTTAATTATTAGATAAAAGAAAATTTATACACCAATCCACCATTAAACAACACGAGTTGGAAGAGGAGAGGTTACCGTAAATCATGCTATCTCTGTTGCAGCTGCCCCTGACACACTTTGTGCTATTCGAGAGAACGGGCGTATCCCTTCCAGTTGTATTGAGTTCATTGTCTCAGCATTTATACCCCACGAGGCGATCAGTGTCCGCGAAACGAAACGCGAACGCCGAACGCCACCGGGCAAGGAAAGAAACACTCCAAAAACAAGATCCTATTTCGGGCGAAATGGGAGTGGCTGGTTGCCCGACTGGCGTATTTTCAACTAGGAAAAAGCCAAATACTCAATGTTGAATGCAATGCTTCTCTCTATTTCTCTCTATTCGTAACTCTGATGATTCTCTTACAGGTGGGTTCTACCCGAGTCACCGAGATGGCTGCTGGCCCTTGGACGCACCAAAGAAGTGATGAGGATTCTAGAATCAGCTGCTAGATTCAACAAACGCCCTTTACCTCCGAATCTGGACAAAAGGTTGCAACCGGAGACTTCAGAGGAGCCGGTCGAGAACGTTAGCGTTCTGGACCTGTTCAAGACTGCCGAGATGAGGAAGAGAACGTTCATCCAATTCCTCATCTGGTTCAGCGTCTATTTGGTCTATTACGGTTTGGTGCTTAATCTTGGCAACATCGGAGGAAATTTGTACATCACTTCCGTAAGTATTAAATCGGGTTTCTATATTAACAGAAAACCACTTATTTACTCATGCTCAATGTACTCAATGGATATGATTGATTGTTTTGCACTCAAGTATTCTGGTGGTGCCATTTGTCAGCTGAGTGGTTTTCTTGTAGTACCACTGAAGAATCAATAAAGTTTTATCAACAACTAAAAGACGATTATTCGTGTGCCTTTGTGTAATTCAATGGGTATAATCAAGATAAAAGATAAACGATGTGGTTTCAGTACAGCGGACTAATCAACATAAGACCTTTCGGAGTCAGATCGATTCAATATTCAATCACACCTTAGACGGTGAACAGGCGTGGGGCAGCCGACTAAACGGGTAGTTCAGATCGAGAGCAGCGTTGCCAGAAGTAGTACATTGTACCACATGTGGTACTTTTTCGTGAAAAAAGTACAGTAGTAGGTACTACATTTCCAAAATGAGCCAGAATGTGGTACAAAATGAAATCACGAACATCGAGCGTGTTTCATGAAGAATGTCGAGCATTGACATCACTTGTGTTCACAGCATCTACATTTTTGTCACTTGTAATTCGTCATTCTTGTCACTTTTCGAGCCTCGCTCTACTTATCATTGTCAATTTGTCACTTGCTTGCCACATGCACATGCACACAGAACAATAATAAAATAGTAGTCGAATGTGCCGATGGAACTCAAGGACCATAAGCTTGAGAAAAAGAGATTGATATAAAAATTTGAGTTTTTTGGGCCCGGTTCAAGTGATAAGGCAACGCGTTATTGGTGGTGGTACAAAGTGGTACATTTTCTTCACTGCACTACAGGAATCAACATTTGGTGACCCCTTCGTGATAATTCGAGGTCATCATAACAAAAATGTCTATAACCATGGACCAGATTAAGAGAAGGCGGAAGACCGTCAGGCACAGGTTACTGGTTTATACAGTAAATGCGAAACCCTTCTAGAGAACAGAAATTGGAGGTGAAGTTGGAGATGCTTACGATTCAGCATCAGAACCTTCAGCAGTATGACCAACAGATCTTAGACGATCTGTACAACAGTGATGGATATATGGAGAAGTATTTGGTGATGAAGAAAATAATAAAAAGAGCAACCAAAGCTCTTACCATTCGCAATTGCGACGACGACAACGTATCCGAAGCAGGATCCACAGTTGGAATTGGGAAGAATTATTCTCTACCTGAATCCGAAGTTCGTGAATTTTCGGGTCAAATATTAGATTGGTTGCCCTACTGGTCTCAATTCCACTCCATCCACGACGACGAATCGATTCCGAAATCAGTAAAATTCACATTGCGGTTGCAAAGTTTGGAGAAAGCACCCGATGCTCATTATAGTTGGTGTTTAATTACGCAGCTACGGACACCAGCTACGACGAGGTAATTAAGGTATTGACAAATAGATACGGTCTTTTTGATGACGGAATCAGGACAAATCTTAGACCTAGGGATCTGCACATGTTGACCATAGATGGCAGCGTCATGCAGTGTATGACGCGATCGAAATGTCTCACCTCAGAACTAACGCCACTAGGTAGCGATAGCATGACTAGATCATCATGTATGATCCGGCGAGCAGCAACATACGTTTGCCACAGGACGTTAAGAATTCGAGGGTGAAAGAGTAACTCTTGAACTTTCCTGTATAATGATCAAGTTATCAGAATTTCTTGGAAATTAAAATCCAGGCAAACAGCGAAACATTATTATATAGCTATCAGTATATATCAGTATATATAAGTATCTATCAGTATTCATAAGTATCTATCAGTATTCATAAGTATCTATCACTATCTATCAGAATTCATAAGAACCAATCAGTATATCTATCAGTATCGAATGTCTTTCTTCGCAGGTGCTACAAGGAGCGGTCGAAATACCCGCCGTCGCCCTCAGCATCTTCATACTGCTGAAGGGCGGTCGCCGTCTGCCCCTCTGCCTCACGATGGCCGTTTCGGGGGCGGCGTGCGCCCTGATAGTGCCCATCTATCACGTGACCGGAGCTGACCTGCAATGGCTGGTCACGTGCCTGGCGATGCTGAGCAAGTTCTGCATCAGCTCGTCGAACGCCATCATGCCCGTGTTCACCGCCGAACTGTATCCCACCACCATCAGGAACATTGGAGTGGGGGCGGCTAATGTGGCGGCAGGAATAGCGCTCATGGCAGTGCCATACTTGTGGATGCTCGTGAGTATATCTACACCCTACACCGGTTGTTTCGATAGGTTTGTTCGTGTTCCAAATTGTTGAAACGGTCCACCCAGCGAGCACAAACATCCCTGGGATGTTTTGGGATGTTTTGAAAATGTTGGCATGAAGATGTTATTTTGAGACGTAATATGCACTGACCAAAGAGGTCTTTGAAGGATATTGAAGTATTGTTTTTGTTCTTCTGTGGTATTTCTTTGTTTGCCTACTGAGAGGTATCCCTGGGATTTTTTGGGATGTTTTAGAAATGTAGGCTTGAGGATGTTTTTTTGAAGCGTAATATGCACTTCCCAAAGAGGCCTTAGAAGGATATTGAAAGTATTGTTTTTGTTCTTTTGTGTCCTTTCTTTGTTTGCCCCACCACAACGTCTCATGCTTACGTCACAATACGATGAATTCTGATTTGTTTCCGATTTTGTTCTTCTTGTTCGCAATTGGCATTCGCGTTTGCAGCGTGTCACGCTTACATCACGCTGCTAACGAACAGAAAGGAATTTGGTGAAGTTTATTGTGTTAGAAGACTTATTTAGTTTGTAATAATGACCATCAGATGCAAGATGTGTTGTTCGGTGCCTCAGTGTAATCAATATATAAAAGTACGAATTCATCAATACACAGCTTCTCCGCAGTTGCAAAATTATGCATTGTGGAGAACATTTCAAAAATTGGGAAACCTATTTCCAATTATATGTCTGTGTGTAGTAAGCACTACTCAGAAACCGATTAAGAAGGTAGGTAATTTCATATCAAGAAAATATTTTTATGTTCAATCTATTTTTAATGCATTTTTTCATTCAAGGGAAATGGAATCCTAATGCAAAAGTTCATTTTGACAAAAGGCTTCAGAAAAGTACCTCGAAAATGGTTTTTTTACAGCGATTTAATGTGCGCAAGACGCGTTGAAAATCTTTTGTTGTGTCCATGAAAAGGCTATAAAAAGAACTAGGGAGAGGGTAGTTTTGTGACATATCAAGGACATCTCGATAATTGCCGCCTGCGGCGGACATTGGCTGTTCTATAATAGTTCTATTCATGTGTGAACAGAACATCGCAGTGGAGGTTCAATGTCTCGAAATCTCGTACTTTTTACATCTCTGAGATGTTTTTGTGCTCGCTGGGCATGGACTGCGTAGAATCAGGTGCGCATCAATTTTTAACCGAAACAAGTCTGGGATAGTTTTGAAACCAGATAATCGAAAACGCGTCTTTTCATCATCTTTCTCGAAAATAATATGCTGTTGACTCCCGTGGATCAAAGGCATATTTAGGTTAGGGTTATGTTACAGAATAAGTCTCATATACCAGGCCAAATGAATTTCAACAACGAAATAATTTCTTCACCGCAATCTATTGTCAATGCATTCGCGATAAATTTCAGAAATGCTTATAATATTGATATTGATGATATTACCTCAACTGAAGATAAAATCAATAAAGAACTCTCAAATCCCAGTCAATACATTAAAATCAAGAAAATAACTCATGAGCAAATAATAACAGCTGCAAAAAAACTTAAGAATAAATTAACGTGTGGACCAGATGGCATTCCTGCTAAAATTGTTAAGAATTTCATCAATTTGTTATCTAGACCATTAGGCATTATATATAACTTGATTCTGAAAACATGTAATTTTCCTACCCTTTGGAAGTTATCACGTTTGTGTCCAGTATTCAAATCAGGAAAGATTTCGGATATTGAAAACTATAGACCGATTGCACTAATCTCTGTATTCTCCAAATTACTAGAAATAATCATATTTGACTCAATTTACAATAACGTTCGAACTTCTATGTCTGAATTTCAACATGGTTTTGTGAAATCGCGTAGCACGGCAAAAAAATTATGTACTTTCACCCAATATGTGTCTAATGCTCTTGACTGCAAAAATCAAGTTGATGTAATTTATACAGATTTTAGCAAAGCATTCGACCGTGTATCACATCAACAATTATTGAGTAAATTGTCTAGCTTCGGCATATCCTATGACATTGAGTTACTACTAAAATCTTTCTTATCAAATAGGAAGTTATTCGTAGAATATAATGGTGTCAAATCATTCACATTCGAGGCAACTTCAGGAGTACCACAGGGCTCCAATTTAGGACCTTTACTGTTCTTACTTTTTATCAATGATATATGTGATCGTATCCAGTCTGCTAAACTACTATTTGCTGATGACATGAAAATCTACAGAGAAATTAAAACTATTGATGACTGTCAACTATTACAACTGGATCTTGATCTAATCAATGATTGGTGCCTCAAAAATAAACTCTCTTTGAATACCAATAAATGTAAAGTCATGACTTTCACACGAAAATCTACCCCAATTTCATTCGATTATCACTTGGATACTTCACAACTATCACGAGTTCAACAATTCAAAGATTTAGGTGTTCTTTTTGACCAAAAGTTGACATTCTCCACTCATATAGAAAGTGTAATAGGCAGAGCTATGAAGTCTTTGGGATTTTTGATTCGTACCTGTAAGGAGTTCAAATCATTTGGTGCTTTGCGCAGTGTCTACTTCTCATTGGTGAGAAGTAAATTAGATTACTGCAGTGTCGTATGGAATCCATGTCATTCCAAATATATCGAAGCCATTGAATCAGTGCAAAGTTTTTAAAATATGCATACTATAAAAAATATGGCGTGTATCCTCAAAGACACTATAGCTATGACCTATTGCTGAACGAATTCGATTTATTTTCTCTTAAAAAACATCGCGAAATAATCGATTTAACTTTTATGCATAAAATAATCCATAATCATATCGATTCATCCTCATTACTCTCTCTGATTGATTTCAATGTACCACGATCCGTGTCAAGATCAGATATAACGTTCCGCATTGCTGTGCCCAAAACACAACATCACTTCCATTGTCCCCTTACAACAATGTGCCGAAGTTACAACAATTTACAAAGTATTGATATATTTTTTCTCTCGCTGTCTCAATTCAAGCATAGACTATTTAGTGCCTTGAGGAACTAGTTTATATATATATTAGTTTATATTCTTTTCGAGTTATGTATAGATATAGGTATATATTTTTAGCGATCCAACTAATAACCATGTATTATTACATACACCTGTAAATGGGCGTAAGCCTGCTGGATGTATTAATATTAAATAAATAAATAAATAAATAAATAAATAAATGTTGATGTTAACATGAAAGAATCCTAAAATTCTGGACCTGAATATTTATCATTCTCCATTAATATATTCTTAAACTCATACCTACCAAAAATGGTAATGGAAATCTTAATCTGAGTAGAAATTCATTCAAAACCATCATTCTCCAGATTGGTCTTATTGAAGATTCTCAACAGATAAAATGTTCAAAAACGTATCATCTCAATTTGTGGAGGATGAGGAGCTGGAGCTCATATGCCCATTATTTATAATTTTGATCGAATTTTTTCAACAATTGCCTAGCCCTAACAACACAAGTACATCCTAGGGACTTCCCAGGGATGTCACTAATTTTATACAAGGACATCCCAGGAATATCCTTTGTCGGGACAAAGTACATACTAGGGACGTCCCAGGGACATCCGCTGGCCGACAAAAAAGGCACCCAAGGGATGTCCTTCTGGTACGTCCCTGGGGACCTTTAGCTTATCAGGCACGCACCTTACTCCATTGGCTAATACGCCTTCTGGAGATTTATGTACTAAACAGATTTATAAACAGGACTAAACTACAGAAACCTGAATAAATTAGTAGATTGTTTTATTAGGATCAAAAGTGACACTTTGTTTGACAAGCGAATTTTGCATTTGCGAGGCGGAGCGTTTAGCGAAGCCGAGCGAAAGCAAAATTTGCGAGTATTTGAATCTTGAAGGCTTCCCTGATCAAAACAAAAATACTCAACTGAGATGTTTATAATTCCAATACTAAACTATAATAAGGTGTATTTATATCTCCAACATGGGTATGAAATGCCAAATCTGCTGAAATCGGAAACAAATCAGGTATGCGTCTCAGCCCAAATAACCAACCGTTACAATGTTGTTTACTCTTGATGACGTCCAGTACATCCTTTTTAGTTCCTTAGAGCTAAAGTTCAACTTTAGCTCCTAGGAACTAAAATTCAACTTTAGCTCCTAGGAACCAAATATGTTGCCTAGCAACATACCTATTTTTGTGTCAGTAATAGAAACGTCACTTTAAGGGCTAATTTTCCCAGACAGCACCAGATATTCCATGAATCTCCCTATCATATTCCTTTTGGAATATTGGAATATTCTAGAAATAATCTGGAATATTCCGGAATATCTGTGGAATATTCTCTAAATATGCGAATGGGAATTCCTCAGATAATCATAGAATATACCCAAAAGAATATTCTATGTTGAATGTCCCTGGAATATTCCAATAAACATATTCTAAAATTAAAAAAAGTGACCCAAGTAGGGATCGAACTCGTGACCTCAAGACTATCAGAGCAACGCCTTGACCACTAGGCCAGTAATCGAATTGAATAATGTTTTACATATCAAGTTCTTGTGAGAGCATTGTTCGAAATCGGTTCATAAACACTTTTTGTTTCAAAATCCCCTCACATTTAATTGATGTTCGATACTCATATCTCTGAAATAATGAATGGTATTGATGTGTTGAGAAACAAAGGAATATTCAAGGAATATTTCATGAATATTCACCACCGAATATTCAGTTGAGAATATTTCATGAATATACCGCACAGAATATTCAGTTGGGTATATTTCATGAATATACCGCACAGAATATTCAGTTGGGTATATTTCATGAATATACAACAGAGAATATTCAGTTGGGAATATTCTTGGAAGATTCATACCTGAATATTCCCTGAACATGTCCGACTATTCACTTTGGAATATTCCTTTTAGATGTTCCAGTGGCATGTATATATTCTAGGAATAATCGATGAATATTCGGAATATACTCCTCCTTTTTAGCATATTTAGAGAATATTCTATGAATATCCAGTGCTGTCTGGGTTGGTATCAAAATGGACGACTTTTGTGTCGGTTGCAGAAAATAGTTATTTGTTTAACTATAGGCAGCAAACTAGTAGATTGACTGCCGTGGCTGAATTCATAGCCGAGCGGAGGAAAACAACTTTGTTAGGATCTGGGTAGAATTATTATCATTCTTGGGTGTTTGAAAATGAGGGGCATTATGCATTTACGATTTCTGTTTGCGAAAAATGGTCATATCTTGAGAAGTTCTGAGACTATATTCTTTATTTTCATTACAATTATTTTCCGGAAGAAAAACAAACATTTTCAAGAAAATTCAACTCAATATTTTGATGAAATTCAATGACTCTGATGTGAATGGATATCAGATATTCCAGAGACACGAATAGGATAACCTAGGGATGTACCGAGCGGAATGTCCACTGGAAAACCACTGCGGGACATTCCCTGGATGCCCCAATCATGTCCTTGTACGCATGAGTATCCAAAATTATTCACGACAGTCATGGACAGCTCTTGCCCAGAGGCTGGTACTGCTTTAGACCGATTCGAAACTATCCCGAGCTAGTTATCATTTTGGTTTGGTTTGAATAGGTAGGTAGTTCTGAAATCTGAGAAAATGTATCGTTACCTATCAGAATAGTGTCAGTTCACTATGAATATGAAAATATGATACTCGAACATCTCAAACTTGTACAGTTGTGACACAAAAACAAACGACGAAAACAAGGCGAAAATGACTGAAGGTCTTTGTCCTGGAACTCATGATAATTGCCATGTAGAATTCTGTCGAACCCAAATAAATTAGGTGTTTTATATGCATCATTCAGTATATTATGTTTACATTCATAGTGTTCCGTGTAATAAAGCAGTCGTCGTAGGTAATTCAGTTCATTTAACACACATTATTGAGAGAATTCCGTCACATTTGTAAAATTGTTGCGTAACCGTTGTATGGCGACATACGACATACAGCCCATTATACAGGGTGGGACAATAGTGCGTCGCGGAGCTCGATTGCTCGAGTTCTATGATAGCTACAAACTTGATTCAAAAACGAATGTCAATGAGACAACAAGGTCCATAACTAGAAATTATTGACGCATATACAGGGGGCATCGGAAAAAATCTAGAGGGTCAAGATCACTTTTTTTTTAAAGGAATACCCTATATACAGGGTGAGTCAAAAATGTGTACCAAGCTTTCTGGGGGTGATAGAACATTGAAAAATAAGTGTAGTTTGATGATTAAACTCATGGCCCAAAATGCATATTAAGGGAGATAGGTATATCCTTCCAAAGTTGATAAAATTAAGATAATTTCTCCGCATAACTTCTGAACGATGAAAGCCACCCGATTGAAATTTTGTGCATGAATGTATGTTGTCAAAATACATTTTTTCGTCGCACTTCCAAATTTCTGATATTGTTATAAAGGGTGTTTTCAGAGGGTGAGTCATGATTTTTTGTAGAAAACTTTTTTCCCTGTATTATTTTCGGCTCGATTTTCGGTGAAAAAACAGGAGCATTTGATGGAGCGAAAAAAATTACATGAAAAAGGTATTCTTATTCAAATACAAAAAATTGAGCCGTTCGTGAGATATTTGAGTTTTTGTAGTTACATGATATCAGCAGATTGATTTTATTCATCGCGAGATTCATCGGTAACAATATTTTAGCAGGCCATGATGAATAATTTTGTGAAAGCCACCCGATTGAAATTTTGTGCATGAATGTATGTTGTCAAAATACATTTTTTCGTCACACTTCCAAATTTCTGATATTGTTATAAAGGGTGTTTTCAGAGGGTGAGTCATGATTTTTTGTAGAAAACTTTTTTCCCTGTATTATTTTCGGTGAAAAAACAGGAGCATTTGATGAAGCGAAGAAAATTACATGGAAAAGGTACTCTTATTCAAATACAAAAAATTGAGCCGTTCGTGAGATATTTGAGTTTTTGTAGTTACATGATATCAGCAGATTGATTTTATTCATCGCGAGATTCATCGGTATAACGATAAGATGCATCGATTGCACCTTTGACTACCCAGTAATAGTATATTACAAACCGAGGTGGGAAGTGTTACATTTCTTTTGAATTGACTCGGTCGTTACTTGATAGAAATCCATCGCAAATGTAAAAACTTCACAAACGATAATATTTCCACAAAATTCTTATACACACATGTTTCGCTAACACAGTAGCTTCGTCAGGTGATATACTGGTACTGGTACAATGAACTAAACCAACGTTGGCTTTACGGTATTCCGTAATTCAATGTAGATATTGTGCCTAATTTCCGAAAATGGAGGTTTATCGATCCTGTCGACAGGTAATCATTCCTTCAAGTTGAGAAAGCAGGATATATAAAAGTTGAGCAAACCAACGTTGGTTTAGTTCATTGTACCAGTATATCACCTGACGAAGCTACTGTGTTAGCGAAACATGTTGTGTGTATGAGAATTTTGTTGTAAAATCTTATCGTTTGTGAAGTTTTTGCATGTTACATTACTGTCGAGAGAGTTATGTAACTTTCCACCGAGGTTTGTATGCTATTTTATTTACAACTATAACCTTCTAAGCAACTTTGTTCACAAACAATGGAGATGTTGTACAATTAAAGAGATTGGGAGGATGGAAATCGAGTACCGTGGCGGAATAGTTCGACCATAACGATCAATTTCAATAATGTCAATAATCCCTAAATATATGTACATATAGAAATTATTAATCCTTTGTTTGAAAAGTTCAGTTCTTGTTAATCTTGTGTTTACTAATCCTAAAGAACTCAAGAAGTGCCAATGTTGTCAAGTGAGCATATAAGTCTCAATAAAATCAAATAGGTAAATGAATATTTCTGACAGTGACATTATAAGCTTATATCGTCATAGTTACGATATCTATAATGAGGGTCATAACTCCCTTGGGATGTTATAGATGCTATAATTCCCTCTAGCTAAAATTAAATAAGAAATGCATAGCAACAACCACGCAATAACGTAGCAATAAGGAATATCCTATTCGCGGTAGTCAAGATCATCATCTGACGTTCTGATGACATTGAAACTATACGGAAAAACATGTCTAACTTCCAATCGGGATCGGGAAGGTATCTAATGAATGAAATCAGTCAGAAATAAAATTATCTATGTATCACGCGGGAATTATAGGGCCTTAATAACCTCTGGCAATTGCTGTCCCTCGGGCCAGAGGCCCTCGGGACGCAAACTTTGCCATCGGTAATTAAGGCCCTCATAATTCCCTTGATACATAAATAACTATTTTATTTAAAAAACTTGAAAAAGACTTCTTCTCTCAAAATAAACAGAAAAAAATCCTCTCACGGGTGGGAAGTGAAAGTAGGTAATATGTCAGTTTCACATATATAGTTGTAAATAAAAAAAATTGAGCCTCTAGGATGTAGCATGATCCGTAACCATAGGGGAACTTGAGAGCGGTACCTCTTTTATTGGCGGAGGCGCTGCGGAATATGTCCTCTCAAGTGTTTTTCAACTCATAGGAATTGCCACACTCCGCCTTCGGCGTCAACATTTCATACTCGTAAAAAAAATTACCACTATAGGCACTTGTTACATAAATAACTATCCTTTATAGGCATCGTTTCACCAGAGCGTACCTATGGCAGTTCTGGCAGTGTTCGGAATATTGGGAGGGCTTTCCGTGCTACTTCTACCAGAAACAGGACACGCTCCCTTATTGGACACCCTTAAAGAAGAAGAGCATGGCAGAAGGTATTCGATATCACCCATCGACAACTCCAAAAGGATCAACAACAACTGCTGTTCATAGGGATTATTGGATAGGACGTAGGTCCTAGATCAATCTGTACGATGGATACTTGGATAGGAGTAAAGTCGAACATTTCGATTGGTGAAATGATGGAGAAAGTGATTTTGGAACTCTAATCGACAATGTTTTTTTGGCCACTGTTACTTAAGTTCATGAAGGACGAACTCTACAATACGATAAGTGTCTATTAGAAGTGTTACTTCACAGGATGAGCAGGAAGCTTAATAGGAGTTCTGCAAATATACAGATATAGTAGATACATGCTGCGTTTTATATTATACGGGGTGGATTTTGAAAATTTCCCACCCTCAATATCTTGATGCTTCCAGTGAATAATATGAAGAATCGAAGGAACAGGTCAAGAAGGGGGGTCGAGTAGCGCATCATTTTGAAGGACGTTCAATTCTTTTCCCAACGGTATCCTAGTTTACCATTTTCTGATGAGCAGTTTCTGAAAAATGCCGTCTTAATTATAAAACTCCCCACCCTTAATATTGTCCTTCCGGTATGAATAATGAAAAATCGAAGAAACAGGTCAATTCAAATTTCGAGGAGGACACTTTGAATGCATATCATCAGGCCACATTGTACAGCCATTTTTGATGTAATAAAATTATATTATGGTCAATATCAACGGTTCAAAAAGATGTAGCGGTGACAGCAAAAGTCAAAAATTCAAAGCCAAATAAGCGTTTTGTAGGGCGAATTATGCTCTTTCATATGAGCCTAAGTTTGCTAAAATCGGTCGAAAGAAACGGGAGAAATCTTGGTTTGTTTGAGAAAACAATTAAACTTCCCCCACCGCTTTATTTTGATAGCTAAAACGAAACGTTCTAGACAAAAAATGTAGGGAAATGGTCAGTTAATATGAAAATGATATCATCGATATACTTTCATAAGACAAAATTCTATAAAAATTCCATTTTTCTACTCTTGGTGTTGATTGTTACGCCCTCTAGCGGACGTTTGACAAACTCGAAAATAATTTCCAGCAATTTCTCTTGGCGACTTTTATCATGATTCTTTTTTCTCAAATCTATACGACCAATATCTTATGAGATATGGGCGCTCGCTAGCCTTAACTGATCACCCTGTACAACCCCCTAGGAGGGATAGATGTTACCCTCAGAACCTCATAAGATAAGGAGGGGGGTCAAGATGCACATTATTTTGAAGGGCGTTCTATTCTCTTTTCAACAGTATTGGTTTATGATATTTTTGAAAGCAGTTTCCGAGACATAACCATCTAAATTTACATAGAAGTAAATAGGAACATGCCTGCACAGATATGCATGGTTTTCATAGAAATGGTTTGGAACTAGGGAACCATTGAAAAGAGAATGGGCGAGTGAACTTATAGGGAATGAATAATTGGGATTCAATTACTACACTGTGTCGTTATAGGGACCTAAATTAATTTTTGCAAAACTTCTCACACTTTTTTTATGTAAATAATGAGTGTATGCGTTATTCGAAATTGTTGAATTTCAAAGCTCACTTCAAACGTACCGTCATGACCACTATTTGGCGATACGTCGAATTATAGTGGTGTGCTCGACAGAAAGGTTAAACTCGTCTTGATCTGCGCATGACGTCAACTGGGATATAACTGACATTTATGCACGACCGGGCGTAAAGTAGCACCTTACCGCCCGGGTTTGCGGGCGTAAAGTGGCACTTTTCCACCCGCGGACTACTTTACCGCCCGGCGGACGATAAAGTCATAAAGCTAATGTCACTGTCATATCGCACCAGCTTACGAATTCTTCGTATTCTTTGTCGTATATTTTTTTTTTATTTACTTGGCAATAAACTCGATTTTGCTTCCTCAGCTGCCTCACTAATTTCTGATGGAGTACAATTCACACTTTCTTCATCACTAGAATTCATTTTGAAATCACTAATGAATTATGTATGATTACACAAATTGACAGTTAATGAAATGACCCACGTGGGTTTGTAGAAGGTGAAGTCACAGATTGAGAATCGGAGATCAAAATTTCACAATTTATTTATTAAACAAAACTTACAAGTAACCACAGTCACCTACCATCAATTACAATCACTTGTCAATATATACAGGGTTAATAATAATTAATACCACTTCATTACAGTTAATATGGCTACTGGCCTATTAATTATTCCTATTTCGAAAAATTGACTGAGTTGCCATGGTAACGTTATTGATTCCTTACTCCTTGATTAATTGTATTTGCGATATTTATACAATACAGTCTCACTGCAACCGTGATGTATTTTTATTGTGCTTGAGGGGTGAATAGATACCTACATGAGATATCAAATATATACAGGTCGTACATAAAATGTTGAATGTATTTCGAGCGAAATTAGCTTTTATGGACCTAGGCGTGTTAATAGCCCTCGCTATCGCTCGGTCTATTTACTTACACGCTGCGGTCCATAAAAGCCTATTTTACGCCCTTGATACATAAATAACTATTATATATTGTTTGTTTTCGTGATCGATGTCACAATTCAAATATATTATGTAAGTTCGAAAATTAAATGAAATAATTTCAATATGAATGACAGTAATGACAAAGATATTGAATATTCTTTTCCAAGGATGGAGACCTAATGGCGAGACTTTATATTCATTGTTCGCAACATTTCCCTGCAAAACTTTTTCGAACAAGTTTGAAAGTAGGTACAGTTGTTGAATTAAATACCTCCAAAAAAAAACACGAATAAACAAATATTTGAAATAAAGGGCCTTTCTACAGAACATCTTCCGTCGAATATTGAGTTAGAAATAAATGAAAATTGACTCAAAAGAATTAATTTCTCAAAATATAAATTGCAGCAAAGATTTGAATAACAAAAGGGAAAAAAAGTATACTTCTGTTGTCGATGTCAAAGCAGAAACAACCAACGTCAACTTCTGAATGTGAATCTGTCCGAATTCACACAATGGCGAATCATTCGACTGGATTGACAATGCATAATGTTTCGTATGTATTTGCTATATGCGATTGAGAATTTCCGCAAGGTAACAAATTCCATTGTCAATGAAAAATAGTAAATTGAATTATTCCTAGACAGATCGAAAAACTCGTAGATATCTCAATAAACTTTATTAAATTCATACCGCGTGCCTATGGCAACTATACCTGATGTCTTCGACTAGCAGCTGTCATTGGTATCCCAGATGACGTCACATAATATGCGCGTAGGCACACCATCTTTTCCTTTCACTATGCGTCGAATAAATGTTAACGTCAGCTTTTATGCTGTTTCCTTATTGGTCAGATAATCATCCATTCCCACTCACGAAGCGAGGTTGTCAAGTCACCAATTATAATCCTATCGTTGAATAAAACATAATAGGAGGAACCTATGATATTATTGTTCATTCTTGACTCTTTCGAGCAACCAGCATGTCTCAATAATATACTCCATACTCCATAACAAAATTTCATGTAAATGTTGGAGACTTGACAATATCGTGCTGAAAGAAGGGACAAGACCACGCCCACAGGTCGTGAGCGCGGTGTTGTCATGTTCACCGCTTCAAATGTCCTCTAGTGTGAATTAATATCATTAATTCACTATTCACACAAATTTATTATAAGCCATAAGCCATGAATCACAAGGGGACATTTTGAGACAATTGATTTTGTATTGCTAAATAGGAATATTACCAATACATAATTGAGAATTTATTAATGTTTGAATAACTAATATTTCTGAAGTTCCCAATCATATTTCAACACATGGCAACGTGCTATGGCCTGTCCCTACTTACGAAATCGTGATGCTCCAAAAAATCGACCCAAAAATTCTAAAAAAATATGAAATCGAAAGGTATTTGAGTGATGATTATATATTTATATGCAAAGGAATGATCAAAGACTATAAATTTCCTTTTTTCTGTTTTTTTTTCACTGTTTTTATTTTTCCCCTTCCTGTTCACTATAATATGACTGTATCTTAATGATATGTAAGTTTTGTTCACTATTTGTAATTTCAATTATACAACAGTCGATAATACTTCATGAATGATCTTATACCAGGAATTACTGTCTGATCATTCATGTCATTCCTACTATAGAAAATTAATTATACTTTATATATTATTTGTATGAAATGTATCAATGAAGAAGAGAATGTAATGCAATAACTGAAATAACTGAAATAAATAGATGATTCTATATGAGAAATGAAAAAAAAATTAGTTCACACACTCGCATACTCATTGACCCCCCTTATTTATTAAAATTCTAATGATAACATCTACCCCTCCTAGGCGGTTGAACCATGAGGGCAAAAAATATTAATTTTGAGTGTCCCCCTTGAAAATAAAATTGACCTGTCTCTTCGATTTTCCATATTAATAATGATAATGATTTTATTGATATTAAAATATAGATATAGTGAATACAAACTATGGAAATCATCTATAGTCTCAAAGTGGTCAACAGTGGGTGACTGTCTCATGAATGTCTATTATTGTCTAATTTTTTCGATGTTTCATTGTTCTTTACCCATAACAGGTCGTATTTCTGATGATGGCCGTTGAGCCGAAACTGATGGTGTAACAATTTTCATGTTTTCATAAAGTGTGGGCAAACAATTTAGAGTTTGTCTTTTCTTTGATACGCGTCATATATTCATACTATCAAAAGGCATGATTCAATCTCTTACCAAGTTGTAGACATGGTATGAGCTTGCTCTTCCATTATTTACTGAAAGAAAGATATCGAGGGTGAGAAGTTTTCATGTCACCATGTATGTATATATTTTGTTTTATGAATTGCCAAGAAAAACTACATATTTTGTAAGGAGACCTTCAAATGTCGAAAAATGAACCATTTCGAAGTTTCCAGCATATTTTGTACAGAACTTTTTTATAGTAATAGTTGGTACCATGAAAATGGTACGATTCAACAAAGAATCAGTTTATTTCATCCTGTATCTAACTTTTCATCTTATTTTCATTTCATTTCATTCCTCTATACTCAAATCAGGGATAACTGAAAATGAAAATATAGTGAATGAATCTCATCTTTTTTCCCATTAGCATGAATCCACATCAATTTATTGCCACATGATTCCACCATACTTATTACATTTTTCACGAAAAGATATAGGAATAGGTACTTAAGTATATTTTATTTGTGAGTGAAATTTATGACATTTTTTTCAAAGAAATGCATTTCTTTTCATGGATTATACTGAGATGATACTCTGCAAGATTACATATTATATATGTTTTTTCAACTATTTCCTCGATTTTGTCATTTTTATCACATGCTTATATAGATAAGAAGATTGTAAATTAATCAAGCTTTCGTGTTACTATTATGCAAATATCTGAAATACATTTTTCTTTAATTTTTGGCCGTTACTTATTGGAAATCCACAATAATACTTCACAAACATATTCGAAATATAGATACACGTATAATTAATTTTTTTCATATATAATACCACAATAAGTGATGATATTTTGTCGGAAATATTCGGTGATTGACTGACGACAGCTTGTTGCCTAGTAATTTCGTGAATGACATTGTTATCGAAACTACGAGCCTTAGGCGAGTAGTTTTGGATCAATGTCATGAGCGAAATTAGAGTAGCAAGCGGGAGTATATGTCAATCGACGAATGTTTCCAGGAAAAATAGTATCACGAGTTGTATTCGTATGACTATTTCATGATTGAATGAGACAATATATATAAGAAATAGGAACCATAATTTAGGTATATTCCAACTCAAACTGCGAAGAAGAACATAATGATAGTAATGGAATACAGAATCCACTGTTTTAGAAATTAACTAGGTTCCTACTTATAGTTATTCACAAAGTGGAATGTACAATTTTGATAAACAGTATTTTTTTAATTATCTTGGAGATGGTTGCTATCAAAAGAGTGTATAGAGTAAAAAGATATCGTCGTCGAGGGGCTCGAACCATCGATCTTCGTATCCTCGCGCAACAACCCTATCAGTTGCACTACATCATCTGGTAATCATATTTGTCACAATAACTTGAGTGATTGAAGAAGATTACTTTAAAAAGGGATTTAAATTTTAGTATTGTTGTGTCAGACCGTCAACAAATATGCAAACTTTTCAAATTACACATGAAACGTCCAGCCAGAATAAAATTGTCTCGCCTTTCGTACAGAATGTCTCACTAACGCGAATTATAAGTAAATAAAATAAAGTAGGAACTTAGGTTATTGTCTCAGATTTGAATCCAAAGCAATCTTGACCAGACACGATGTCAAATTTTATGGCTGATAAACGAGGTTTGTTGGTCACGTCACGTGTTCGGCTTCTGTATTGGTAGAGCATGTCCGATAAAATTTAATAAACAAAAAATATCGCTAGAATACAGAAGAAACCGTGAAAATGGTCGATCCTGATTGGTTCTCGAGATCGAGAGTGGAATAGTCAAGAATAAATACTTGGTTATGTAATAATATATTATCACTCGACTCGGCACATAAGACACCGGTTGTCTATCACAATGGCATGAAGCCGAGCTATCAGTGTTCATAAGATTCGAACGTATGTACTCCTCTTATCCAGCAAATCCGTTGCTGATCCGGCCTGGTTACCGGCGTAGAGATAATGGAGCACGTTTGACTTCAAGTATGGCCCCCTTATCCGATGAATCCGTCATCATCCGGCCTCTATACCGGCGTAGAGATAAAAAGGGCCTGATATTTCTCATACACACTTTCTAAACTTCACATTAAATATTGGATTTCAATCCAGATCAGGTAATTATAAAAATTTTGGACTTGCACACACAATAACCTGACTTTTAGCGTGGAGACACCATGTTTCTCCTACCGTGGCCAAAAGTCGAAGAAGAAATAATTAGGTATAATTGTAATTTTCAAGGAATACGAACACGGGCTCAAAGTTCAACACATCCACAAAGACGAAGTTATAAGTTAATGACAACTGTCAGAAAATAATTTTATGATAACGACATCTCAATCTCATGAAAGAATCTTCTTCTTCATCGCCTTCGTATCAAATATCACGTCGATGATGGAATAAAGCACGTCTGTGGTTGAGTATATATTGGAGAAAAATTGAAGAAGAGAATTTCAACCTAATATGTTCTATTTTGACATAAACAAATGAGCTCTTTCCACATTCTCGTCCCCAGCGCCACTTGTCAGACAGACATATTTCGATTCACTGAACAGACAATATTATACCTCCTCGCACTAGGTCGCCTACTAGGTTTTCATTTAGATCGACAATCGTCGAACATCATGCTTACCTAGGGAGGAAAGGGAGAGGAGGTAAGTGTTGTAATAAGATTTAAACTTTTGGAGGTAATAAGTTCTTGGTCATTGGCAAAGAATTCCAAAGCTTCGCCGTTTTATAGACGAACGTGTTTTGGTAGTGTTGTTCGACTTATTTTAGGGTTAACGACGAAAGGATGTGCTGACTGGGCCTGTCGAGTTCGTTTGGCAGATATTGCTAGTGATGGAATTATAGGAGAGATTGCTGAGGAACAGTTGTATCTATCGACCGTTATAGGTTACGTGGATACAATACTTTTCCAACATGTCTTTAATGGTGTCCTGTGGAAAACATGAAAAAATCGATGACTCCAGAAAAATGCAATAATTCTCTTCCAGCTGCAAATTTTAGGAATATACCAGAATCGTCCCGAGAAGGAGTCTCAAGGTATGTAACAGTGACTGATTTTTCGTTAGATATATTTTTTGTGGCCAAACTACATTACATCACATATGGTATTGGTTTTACCTACTGCAAACCCCGTCTATGTTTCAATTGACTGATTATCTTTAATAGCTGTGTTTGAAACTAATGGAACACAATATTCGATACCTAAAACAGCAATGAATCGCTCGGTTCCCAGACAGCACCAGATATTCCATGAATCTCCCTATCATATTCCTTTTGGAATATTGGAATATTCTAGAAATAATCTGGAATATTCCGGAATATCTGTGGAATATTCTCTGAATATGCGAATGGGAATTCCTCAGATATTCATAGAATATATCCAAAAGAATATTCCATGTTGAATATTCCTGGAATATTCCAATAAACGTATTCTAAAATAAAAAAAAGTGACCCTAGGAGGGATCGAACTCGTGACCTCGCGACTATCAGACCAACGCCTTGACCACTAGGCCAGTAATCGAATTGAATAATGTTGTACATATCAATTTCTTGTGAGAGCGTTGTTCGAAATCGGATCATAAACACTTTTTGTTTCAAAATCCCCTTACATCTAATTTTGATGTTCGATACTCACAACTCTGAAATAATGATGGGTATTTATGTGTTGAGAAACATAGGAATATTCATGGTATATTTCATGAATATACACCACAGAATATACAGTTGAGAATATTTCATGAATATACCGCACAGAACATTCAGTTGGGAATATTTCATGAATATACAAAAGAGAATATTCATTCGGGAATATTCCTGGAAAATTCATACCTGAATATTCCCTGAACATCACTTTGGAATATTCCTTCTAGATGTTCCAGAGACATGTATATATTCTAGGAATAATCGATGAATATTCGGAATATACTCCTCCTTTGTAGCATATTTAGAGAATATTCTAGGAATATCCAGTGCTGTCTGGGTTGCTCAAAATAATGCAGGATGGATGCCAAATGGTCAAATCATGAGAACTGTATAAGGGAATCAATTTATTGTAAAAGCAAAGGAAACATTGTAAAAACTAAGGATATATTGTAAAAGGTAAGAATACATTACAAAGCCTCATTCCAAATTGCTCTTAGCATTCCTATGAATCTTCAGCAAATGACTTTTCCAACATTTCTTCTTCATCGTTTTATATTCACACAGATGACAATTGAATAATAATGCAGACACATGATCCTTGGAATGTTGCTTGAGAAAATGCCTCCGAATACTATTTTTTATCCTAGACTGGTAAGAGCAACATTCACATTTGAACATTTTGATATCTTCAGGCTTCTGGTGAGTGCGCAGGTGTGTCTTCAAAGTTCCCTTCTGCTTTGCTCGATATTTGCAAACATGACATTCGAACATTTTGATATCTTCCGGCTTCTGATGAGTGAGAAGGTGTGTCTTGAGTGTACCCTTTTGCTTTGCTTGATATTCGCAAATATGGCACTTGAACATTTTGATATTTTCCGGCCACTCATGAATAAGTAGATGTGTCTTAAGAATGCCCTTTTGCTTTGCTTGATATTCACAAATATGGCACTTGAACATTTTCAGATCTTCAGGCTTCTCGTGGATGAGTAGATGTGTCTTGAGAATGCCCTTTTGCTTTGCTTTATAATCGCAAATATGACACTTGAACATTTTTAGATCTTCAGGCTCCTCATGGATGAGTAGATGTGTCTTGAGAATGCCCTTTTGCTTTGCTTAAATAAAAACTGAGAATAAAATAGGAACTGAAAAAGCGATAAAAAATAAACTCCAAAAACAGAATAAGATTCAGAACATAACATATATTTTACTTTCATTATTCCAGATTTTTTGGGATTTTCTCTCCTCGTTTCTATAAGATGAAAATAACCTACAGACAGTATTTATATTTTACTCGTTCATTTTTTCATACCTCGCTTTGAGTCGTCACCAAATGAAATCGGTATTATCAGATTATTAGGCGAGTTATTATGTCTTGGTTTTTAGGTGCGGAATTGTGAAAATCCTTAGTAAGAAAATTGACAAAACTATTATAAAAAGAAATAAACTCAGTTACAGAACACAAAACACAAGTTTGAAAAAATTACCCCACTAACGTTGCCGTTTTTTCCTGACGTTGCCCTCAAACTTAAATTACTACCTACCAGTCAAAGTGTAATAGGGCTGTTTTCGTCAATGTAGTAATACCGTAATAACTGAGACGCGATTGTAACAACAATCCCAACCCTGAACCTGACCCAACGTAAACGCATCTCAGCATTTATACCATACGAGGCGTTCGACGTCTGCGAAATGAAAACGCGAACGCCGAACGCCACCTGGCAAGGAAAGAAACACTCCAAAACAAAATCCCATTTCAGGTGAAATGGGAGTGGCTGGTTGCCTGACTGGCGTATTTTCAACTAGGGAAAAGGCCAAATACTCAAAGTGGAATGCATTGGTCACAAAGAGAGAAACTCAAAGTCATTACCACAACTAGTTCATAAATTGAACGACAATGGTAGATAACGAGAGAAAAACAACTACTTTCCTGGCTATATGCCACGCAGAACATTGCATTACATCCTCCCGAAACCTATGCGATGGTTCGTATAAACGAATAAAATCGCAAGTGTCTCCTTCCTTCGGGAGGATGTAATGCAATGTTCTACGTGGCATATAGCCAGGAAAGTAGTTGTTTTTCTCGCGTTATCTACCATTGTCGTTCATTTTATGAACTAGTTGTGGTAACGACTTTGAGTTTCTCTCTTTGTGACCAATGCATTCCACTTTGAGTATTTGGCTTTTTCCCTGGTTGAAATATAAGAATGTTTCATTGGTTGAAATCTATCAGTTTTTACCCCATTCTGAACTTTTGTGATAAAAAAATATTCAACTGAACGTATATATATGTAAGAGACTTACTTCATAGGAATATAGTATATATGTATTTCGTTGGTATATATGTACATACTAACTTGATATCGACCTTGGAGGTCCTTCAGCCTTATCATTCAATATCTCGAGAAGAAATAATGTTCTAATTAGTTTATCCTTCCCTTTTACCCACTCCAGGAGACGCTATGCACCCTAATACAAAAATCAAAGACAAAGAAAGATATATGGATGTACTCTCCCCAGGACTTGTGGAGGAAGGAAGATGCGAGGATCCTTTATATAAGCGAAAAACATATTTCTGTCCTTGTCTGGCAAAACATATGATTTGCTTCAAAATCGTTTGTGGTTATGTCTGATTGTCAATGCTTCTCTAGTGTCTGTACTCTAATATACAAAAAACGTCGATACAGCAGTGTCAAATACATTTAGGAACTCTACTACTACCTAGTAATTTCGAATCGTGTTTCATAATATTGTAATATTTCTGAACTAAATAAATTCAATTCAATTCAATTCAATTCAATTCAATTCAATTCCTTGCACGAACGTGCACATAAGATTAGTTCAAAAATAACATAGACCTGGCAACAGTGGCGTGCTTCCCAGCCGTTACAAACTCCAACCAATCAAATTGCAAGGAGACACTGACATCACAGCTCAGTAGCATTTGAATTCACAAGTATTGAAGAAGTAGATTTTTCAATATCGAATAATTAATTTGTTGCTCGATTTTCTCAATAAATATGTGGTCAGGATAACATTTTAGACATCCCTTCATAACATTATAGCGAAAAAGAGTCAAATTTTACGATACTGGAAAGGCCCATTTTTTTCAACAGACCAGTAGCGGTTGAAGGGGCACTGCGGGCCGAAACAGTATTGTTTGGCTCTTGCTGAAATTTGGAACAACTCAATTCATCCAAGATCCTTGTCAGTACATCTAAATTGAATTTGAAAGCATGACAACCAGACATATGTTTGATGAATTGAATTGTCTTACCGAATTACACTGTAGATTTTTAGCAGAAGTAAACTTGGCATTTATAATTCGAATTTTGTTGCCATTAGGTAATTCAACTCAAAAAACTGCCGAGTCCATAGTAGACTGTTGGCCAGCGACACAGGGTTTATCGATGTTCTAAGTCGGTATGCCATTTAAGGGACCCACTCACTTAGACCAAGTTAACATGGAGGAGTGTCTCGGAGAGTCGCAACCCAGTCCTAGCCCCGGCCCTGCCCTCACCTTTCGGTTGGAAAAAAGTTCAAAATTTTGTTTAAGAAGACAATGAAGTGCAATGATCTTATCTTACGGAAATTGTGGGGCGCTTGCCGGTTTGCATACGCCTAGGTCACTCCCTAAGGGCGGCATACGAACCGGAAGTGACAATGTTTCAGTGTTATAGTCGATGATATAAGAATGTATGCCCTTTGGCGAAACAATGAATTGGGGCCCATTATTCAATTTCCCGACATTTGCATACGATTCCGGAGAGGGGAGCTCGACTTATTCGAACATCATTTGACTGGATATCTTTCAAATAATTGATAATCGAAGAAATGTTCAAATTTTGACCATGGTAAGTGGACCACATTGTAACTTAGTTGTTTCTGAACCGATTTTGAAGTTTCAAAAACCAATTAAAATGATTTTCCCAAGAGATTTTTCATTGTTATCAAAAAATTCACAGGCTGTTCATAACAAATGAACTATGGGGTAGTTGTTGATTTTTTTTACTGGAACACTATATTTTATTTCACTATATCGAGTTGAGATTATCATGACGAATACAGCTCTACAGCATCTTGCGACATCATTTACACACTGCACTTTTATAGCGATCATGCGTCGAATTGTCAAATTGTGCCAAAAATATGAATCCTGGGTTTGAAGTATTTTCTTTTTTTTTGCTGAAACAACGGTGGGTGCGATTTCAATTGGTACCTTGGTGAAGCCCTTCCAGCAGAGGTTGGTGACATAATAATCTCTGAGACTTCTTACTAACAGGTACTGATAACAACTCTGAAAAATCATCTTCAGACAGCGAGAGCGAAGATGACTCTGAAGATAATGATAGAGAGGACGACGTATAATTTTTCCTTTGAAATATAATGTTGTTTTCATTTCCAAATATTTTTTTTTATGTGAAGAACAAAAATGTAGATTAAAGTTCAGGATACAGACCCCACACTATACCCAAAACATTCAACAAATTGAATCTACATTCTTCATATATTTTTCAGACGCCAGTATTATGATAAGCAGTACCATAAGCCCCAGGGAAGAATTTCAATTCGATTTATTGTGACTTTCGATCATGAGCAATAATCCACCCCTCTTCTCCCTGTACGATTACTCTTGATCATCCTGCGAGTATTTTGTCGTAATTTTTTCTCATCATCTTTTCAAAGCCCTGTTTTTCAAATTAAAATCACACAAAAAAAATTCTTGGTACTAAACCTGTCACACATGTAATTTTGTTGAGCTGCATAAATTTCTGATGAATAAATACATATATTTCCATTTTGCGTCATCGAATACCCCCATCACTCCCAGGAAGTTAATCTTTGACCCGGTTTCATGTGAAGTGAGATTATGAGACTTCCAGATTATCTAGTTCGCTTTCGGTGCACCTCTGGCTTGCAGTGCGGGGCGCCGCGCCGGACCGAGCCACGCGCGGGTTTGCCCAATTATTACAACGTATGCTCACATTGAATTCGTATGCAAATAACATCCAGTAATACAGAATATCCTAGTTTATCGGTCCTGAGATGTGCATACGAACTTAAATCATCGATTATTTGAAAGATGTCTAGTCAATTGATGTTCGAATAAGTCGAGCGCCCCTCTCCGGAATCGTATGCAAATGTCGGGAAACTGATTAATGGGTCCGAATTCATTGTTTCGCCAAAGGGCATACATTCTTAGATTATCGACTATAACACTGAAAAATTGCCACTTCCGGTTCGTATGCCGCCCTTGGGGAGTGACCTAGGCGTATGCAAACCGGCAAGCGCCCCAATTTTCGTGAGATAAGATCATTGCACTTCATTGCCGAGCTTCTTCTTAAACAAAATTTTGAACTTTTTTCCAACCGAAAGGTGAGGGCAGGGCCGGGGCTAAGAATGGGTTGCGACTCTCCGAGACACTCCTCCATGTTAACTTGGTCTAAGTGAGTGGGTCCCTTAAATGGCATACCGACTTAGAACATCGATAAACCCTGTGTCGCGGGCCAACAGTCTATAGGACGTGTAATTTTTTCAGAGGCAGTTTTTTTCCTCAAATTGCCAGGCAACAATATTCTTATTGATACATGTCAAGTTAACTTCCACAAAAAAAAGCTATCATGTAATTATCATATACGTATTAATAAACAATACGGATCATAACGGGTGCCAGGATGAAGCCAAAAATATGAAACAAATGAATATCCATAAGGAGTTGGTGGCATGATACGCATGCGCCATGCGCTATTATAGTAGTCATCAAAGACATGCGTTTCGGTGGACAATGACGTTTACTAGCCTTTCAATCAAAGCAGTATGTGTCTGATCGTTTCAGAAGGTTTCCTCATGGATAGTCATTTGTTTCAAAAATCGGCTTCATGTTTCGCTATGGAAACAGATAGAAATTATCCGTATTGATTATTAATACGTATATGGTAATTATAAGTGAAAATTGACAGTGACCAACTGGTAGGTAAATGTCAAAAATCGTCAAAAATCTTAGTGATAGCAAAAAAAGTGTACTTAACATGGGACTGGAGTTACTTAATCTCAATCTTAATGTCAAAACATAATTGATATAAGACCGAATCTGAAATTTCAAATATCCATCCTTAAAATACTCTACTTGCTAGTTGGTTTTTGTACAGAAAATATCATTTTCAAATTAACATTGTTATACTGAATGAAAGACCTATAAGCAGTATTCATGGTCACCAATGTCTTTAGATGGTGTTGGGGTGATTAAAAGTATGGGAAACATGTCTAACTTTGAATCTATGCCAGAGATGTTTTTGAATTTATGCCTGGAATGTTTCATAACATTATCTAATGACCTTGGCGACCAAGAATATCAATGATATAACCAAAAAATCAAATTCTCTCATGTTCTTCAATAAAAAAAATGCAAAATTGTCCAGAAAAATTGTTTTCAAGTGCAGGAATGTGTATTGGTAATAATAAAAGAATGCCTTACTGTTCATTGTTGATTTGAATGAATATTGATCAGAGTCAATATCCTCTTCAATGTGACATGCTGAATGGTTCTTTTGACTTTCCAGTGATTCTGATTTGTATGCACATTCTGAAGACCCATACTCAACTTTTTCATGGAATTCATCATGGTATTTCAAATGATTTTCTAAATCTTCCACAACTGAGCTGTATCTAGGACATCCAAATCATTTTTTATAGTTTTGTCAACTAGATCTTTCAAGTTTTTGAAAAAAAAAAACAGGAATTACAAATAATTGTAACCTTCTAAGAAACACAACAGATATTTTGAGTTTTTTCCATACAACTACAGAACTTACATGTTGAAGTTTTCAGCATTACTCTCTTCAAGGTCATTTTCTTCTATTTTAATTGAATTATCTTCTGAACATGCATCTAATTGATCAAGATGGTGTGAATAAGTCTTACAAAATTTAACATGACTCAAATTCAACTCTGATTCATTTGAAATATCAAATGTTTCACAATAAGCCCTGATGAAATTTTGAATATCAATGAATGCAACTTTGAAGTTGTTCAATTCATAAATTGAATCAAAGCATTCCTGGCAAACTTTGGAGCCTGAGGAAACAGAAACACCCTGGAACATATCCTATTTAATTAATGATTCTTTGAAAAAATGCCTTATGCAAAATTACCAAATTATCAAACATTTGTATACCATCATTGGAAATGACATGGTATTTGTCAATAATAAATCCACAACAAACATTGCAAGCATTTTCAGGATATCTCAGTGAACTGGACAAATTTATTTCTGAATAATTTCCCAGTGAATGTTTATTTTCTACTAAAATGGTATTTTTTCTCTGGATAGTTTTGGAATCCTTATATAGAAGGTTGTCCAATTTTTGTAACAGCTTGGAACATGTATAACACATTAGAAAGTCTTTCAGTAGGGTAAACTTGATGGTAGAAGACTAGAAAATATTGCAGATGATCCAGATTAGTGGAAATTGGAATAATGGTGAAGTAGTTATATGTACCTCATTTGAGCAAAAGGCCTGTAGTTTCTGTACTATTAAGCTATCAATAATGAAATATTCATCATTCATCAAGTTCAAACACAATTTACATATAGATTCATCATCCAGGAAATTATCCATATCAATGTAAAATAGGTAGGTACTAGGTTGGTACCTATATGTAGGTACCTATCTAGTTGAGGTAGTTGATGTCTCAAGTTGTTGTGAAAGTGTTGTTTTAACTTGCAACTAATTCAGCTGGCAATTATTACTATACAAGTTTTCACTATTTTCAGTTGACATGGAGAATATCTGGAAGAAAGGTTGATTAGAATATTGAAAAAATTGATATTGATATATTATCAATAGGCCTTATATGGTGTATGGATCATTATAAGATACTGATATTGGTTTGGGAACTGACTATGTAGATTCCTTTCTCATTAGCTGACATTGAACACCTATTAAGAGGTAATAAACAATGATCAACTTGTAAGATTTTTAGCTTGTTTATGATTTTAGCACAGACATTGCCACAGATGATCAGATGAATTCCACTTTCAGCATCTCTTCTCTAATTTTGGTACAAGATTCAGTATTTTCTGATACTACTACTTTGTACCCTAGTAGGTACCTTTTCACGAATAGGTGCCATGTAACGAAAGTACTCCCGTTATCTATAAATCAGGGACAACAGTTTGTATTCATTTCTGTGTCCGAACTCCAGCTGGCTCGTCACTAACACTAACCCTTGTAACAGCCTTGGTGTTGGTATCTTAATTCTGTGGTATCTTATTAGTCTTTGGTCTATTTGGTTTTTTGTTACTAGTCTCAGACGAATAAAAGAAAATTCGTCTGAGTTACTAGTGCTACGAGTCTCACTTTTGCCACTTTGCTTTCATTTATTTCTGACAGATTACTGACATTAGTGACATTTCAAACGGTAGAGTTGTGTCAAAGATGTTGTCTTTGGTTCTGTGGATGAATCATAGAACCAAAGATATAAGAACCATACCCAAGAGCACGAATTCAATTCTACCTGAATTGGTTCATATAGAGGCAGGACGCAAAAGAGACAGAGCGCAACAAATAATCCATGTGGCAATGAAAATGTCCGGCTGAGAGCTTCGCTCACGGCCGATCCTGGAAAACAACATCATTGAAATAGCCCCAACGATGAATGCCACCTTCGAACCCGGGTCCTTCGACAAATCAAGCGAGTACGCTACCCAGTACCCACTGGTAATTGTATTTCTTGCGAATTTATACAGGAAACATTTTTTCGACAGGTAGAATAATCCTCACTGCAGCAAGCAACAAGCATCTAGCTAGACCAGCGAATCTTCCTAACATCGAGGTCTAGTCACGTCTCTCACAACACATTATATTTCTTCCTTTCTTATGGCGAGTTCACATGCCAGCTTATGCCTACAGCAGAAAGCTTTAATAAAACGGGCGCACTGTTCACATGAGAAAGTTGGAAAAGTGACAGTGACTGTCACATATTTGGTTAAATTTCAGATGTACGTCCTCCAGAAACCACATTTATCACATTTTCAGGAGTGTTTTTCCAGTACTGTTTTCCACACTGCATAATATGATGATATAGCACCAATATGTATTCATTTTGTCAATATTTGTGTGGTCCTGTCAAACGATCTGGGCTTTTTTCTGCGAAAGTCGGACTGAAACCGACTTTCTAGCTTATGACCTCGACAAGCGCTTTCTGACGAATCGGCCAATGAGATGAGGATACGCTGTAAGTCAAAAGGCGAAAAGCCAGCATGTGAACGCGCCATTATTGAGGAACTACGACTACTACGAGTGAAGCGATTAAGCGAAAGTGAAAGTGTTTCTGACTTCCATGCTGGTAACTGGGATTCAATCCCTGCGAGGCGTATTTTTTTTGTAATTTTTTTCATTCAATTTTTCGAAAATTCATTTTTTTATGCAGAAGAGATATTTTTCTTCCTCATATAATATATTACCTTGTAAGTCTTCCTTCTACACGAGTAACCTTCTGATAACCTTGAGGTTTGAAAGATTCGCTTGTCTAGCTAGACGATCTCAGCCAAGGAGATTATGATCTCAGCTAGACGCTTGACAGCAAGCAGGTCATTTTCCTGATTTCCCGCCCAGATTTCATGGCACGAAACACGAAATCAGTGCCGGCATTGAAAAGATTTTCATGCGCATGCGTCAAGCGATGTCAATGATGTGATTATCCAGGTGTTAAAAGAGGTAGTTGATTCACGTGTGGCGAATTTTTGTTTAATAACAAATATTGTGGAAAGTAAAGTGTTTGCCACTGATTAGTGAACAGGAACATAATCTGAAATCGAATAAATGTATAATGCATCTTGATTCAATAACTAGTATTTGACTTGGTGGATATAATTCTATAAAATATGTCCTTTCCTTTCATAACCTAAAACACATGCTGGTGCTATTAAAGTATATTATTATTACGTAAATTCACCAAATTTCTGTTGAATATAAGAAGAATCTGTGGACACCTCTATGATTATCTAGATCGCGAGTTTCCCTAGTATCTGAAATCAGTTTAAATTGTTCTATTCCTTGTGTGTGAAAGTGCATGTAGACTGCTAATCATGGATATAGATTTGTTCAGGGACGAGGAGCAGTTTTCAACCTTTGAAGATGACGGTTTCCTGGTAAGCTAATTTCAAATCAGTTCTTGAATTTTTTTTGTTCCATCTAATGTTTAACAATATTCAATAGGATCCCTATCCAGACATTCCGACTGGTCTGGACATTATTCATAACTTTGCTCAAAATGAGATGTATGAATGGAATATGGATAACGAAAGAGAGTAAGTTACAAGACCCTAACTGTTTGTGTCAATCTAATATTATTTGTTTAACAGGATAAATGGAGATATTGCTCTAATTCCCATGTGTGATATGAATCTCACCAAACTAAATGATTCCACTCCTTGTAAAGATGACTTCCAAAAAATCATAAATGATTTACATCAGTTCATTAGTGTAGATGTAAGTAAGGATAGTATGGGATACTATTGAAATCTAGATTCTTCAAAAGTACTGAGTACTTTCAATAATTATGCCTACTCAACTTTAAACAGAATCAATTGGACAACATTCAATGTTATGATGGAGACTGAATATTTTTGGTTCAAAAATATTCATTAAATTCAATGTTTTTTTTTTTAATTCTTAATTGATGAAAATGTCACCTTGTTTTGATTTTTTAATATGGAATGCTGTGCCATCTTGATGAATGTTTTCAGTTACCTTAGACAATTATTGCTAGGCCTTTATGTTTCCAATGAAAGAAACTCTACAGTACAATGATCTCTGAAGTAATTTTCAAACACTTCTAGTCCTCCTGTACTGATTTTGCAATAGAAGAACCTATTGTGCATCCTGAAGAGAATGAAGATGAGATGGCTACCCAGAAAAGTTCAGCTATACAGGATATTCTAACATTGCCAAACATCAAAAATTTTGATATAGCCTCTTATCTAACAGACCCAGACCAGTCAAAACCTGCTGCAATCCAAACTGTTCCTATCAGAAAACCAAAGGCAGGTGTCAAAAAGATTGATTTAAAAGCCCAGCGCTATATAGTGGATGATGAACAGGATGAGATTGATGTTGAAACTGTATCTGAATGTGGAGAAAGTTCTCCTGTTCTGGAAGCTGGAGATCTAGATAGCCTGCTAGAACAATTTGAGGCTACACAAATTCCTAAATTACCAGAAGATTTCATAGAAAATGATCCTAGTGTGTTTGAATTTGATGACAGGCACCAGCTTCCACAAGAAGATACTTTGTCAGTAAACAATTGTATAGATGAAGACACTGTATATAAAAAGCCAGATAGTATTTATGTAAATAAAGAATGCAACTATGAAACTAAAGTGAATGTAAAAATAGAACAGGAAGATTTTGAAATTGGGGAAAGTGTTTTGATTCAGCCTGATGCAGTGAATGTTAAAACTGAATTCTTAGATGAGGATATTGTCAAAGTTAAAAGAGAACAGAATAGTGATAATATAAAGAACCATAATAGCAAGAAGGACAAAACAGTTTTTACACAAAAAGATAGGGTTGAGCTGAAAGAAGAATGGTTACACAACTCCCCAGATTTAGATTATCAAACAAATTTTCAAGGTAAGTTTTATGGTTGGTTTTATTTCATCAATCACTTCATAAACATCCATAAACATCTGAAAGCTATTAACTATGTTACAGGAACTTGGTATCAAAAATATTGAATACCTTGGTTTTTCATTGAAAAAAAAAAACAGATTGAAATCAGGGAAATGTATCTCAAAATTAATTAGATTGAGATCATTAATCAATCCATTATGAGATTTCTACAAACTTCTTATGATAACTACTCAAATTGTTGACATGATCCTTCACAATATAAATTGAGAATTAGCATCAGTATTATTTAATTGTCATTACTATAATCCTTTTCAGTTGGGTAACATCTAGCTGATGCATTATATCATAAAAGTTGATCATATCTCCCTTATATTGAAATGAGTTTTTAATGATCCTATATCCTATTGAAATTGAAAGAAGGACAGGCAAAAATTACAAAATGTCTTAAAGCCTATGGTGGTTTTCTAAGTTTTATATAAACCTTATGATAACCCTGCATTGTGTCTAATAGACCAGGAGATGGTGACAGGTGACATTCTCCCATTTTTTTAAAGCAATATATCTTTAATCAGGATCTGATTACAATGTGGTATAAATACAGAAAATACTTTCATACTTTTTCCAACTTTTTTAATCTATACATTGCATAGTCCCAATTCAAGGAAACCCCTGGTAACTGGGAATATAACTAATAAGTAACACATTCTGTCCTATATGTACAGGGTGATTGACTATGGATTTCTCGACTTCAACAGCTGATATCTCGAAAACGAAAAAAGATATTTGAAATTTGGAAGAAGGTACTTGAATGAGATGTCATTTCCTTCTATAAAATGTGTTCTCTGCTTGATTTTATAATTTCATATACAGGGTTCGTGAAAAAATTATTTTTTTTTCAAATGGAACCCCCTGTATATTATCGCATATTTCAAAAGAGCTATCTTTTCTGATTTCGAAGATATATACTTTCCATATATTCTATCGAGGGCTTGACGAAATATCAGCAAAATTAAATATTAATATTTGGTCCAAGTTAGTTATGGTTGAAATAAAATGAGATGATGAATAAGTGAATTGACATTTGGCCAACATTCTAGTGACATAAGTGCGCAAAATTTCCACAATTTTTTCAGGATGCCATATCCACTGGAACAAAGAAGAGATATTTTGGAGTGCTATTTTTCAGTTAATAAAAATCTTGCTGAAACACTTATACTTATACTTACTTATATTAAATCTTTCAGATATGACAAGACAAAATTCAATCCGCTTCTCATTATCATTATAATTGAGTTTGTGGCATGGTCTAATTCTGAAATCCTTATATTTATATTTCTTTAAGGTATGTTGAACAAAATAATAGCTGAAACCAAACTCTCTCACTGCATTTCTTATTGACCGTGAAGGATCCTCAACAAAATACCGGATTACAAGAAGTTCCTCGTCTTCGTTGTCTTGCCTTCTCACTATTCTCTTGATATTCGACAAACTGGAAGTTCTGTCAAATTTAGCAGCCAAATACTTTACATAATTCTTACTTGGTAATCTCCTGCCTGGATAACTCCTCATAAACGTATGAAGTGTTTCAGCAAGATTTTTATTAACTGAAAAATAGCACTCCAAAATATCCCTTCTTTGTTCCAGTGGATATGGCATCGTGAAAAAATTGTCGAAATTTTGCGCACTCATGTCACTGAAATGTTGACCAAATGTCAATGCACTTATTCATCATCTCATTATATTTCAACCATAGCTAACTTGGACCAAATATTCATATTTAATTTTGCTGATATTTCGTCAAGCACTCGATAGAATATATGAGAAGTATATATTTTCGAAATCAAGAAAGATGGCTCTTTCCAAATATGCGATAATATACAGGGGGTTCCATTTGGAAAAAAAAAATTTTTCACATACCCTGTATATGAAATGATAAAATCAAGCAGAGAATACATTTTCCAGAAGGCAATGACATCTCATTCTAATAACTTTTTCCAAATTTCAAATATCTTTTTTCGTTTTCGAGATATCAGCTGTTGAAGTCGAGAAATCCATAGTCAATCACCCCGTACAATGGATATATCATATATAGTAATTTATAGAATTATTATTGTTTTTTATACAGTTGAATTTTTCAGGTACTTTCTAATTTCTTCATCAAATAACTTTTCATTTGGTATTTCCATAAATGCTTGTATTGTATTATGTACATGTATGCACTAGGGATCGACCGATACCGATATCAGTATCGGTATATCGGCCATATCGGCGTGTGGCCGATATCGGTATCGGCCGATATGAAGAGGCAATACCGGCCTATATCCGTATCGGCTTAGTAATAATAAAATAAAATATAATAGTCTTTAAAATATTGAAAAACAAACATAAATTCTAAGAAAGGAACCAAATATTGAACACAAAATATTTAAAAACAAACATGAAATTCTAAAAAAATACCAAAACTCATTTCTAATATTAAAAAATTAACAGTAATTCTAAAAAAAAAATTACAAAACAAATATTAATATTTAAAATTGAGTTTCGGTAAATTACAATATAATAAAATTGAATTTTAGTTAGTCGATTTCTAGCGCCCTCCTATACGTTTCCAGCTGAAGAAAATAGCTGTTCGGTCACTATACTACTGGGTGGTGGTGCAAAATATATAATTGCACATTTATACAGTACTAAAAAGTTATTTTTCTCTTTTCCCCACCACATCAAAGCATCTTCATTTTTTAAAATATTTGTTAGTTTTATATATATTCTATATTCCTCTTCAATATGGGCTTTTTTAGTAATTTAAAATTTACGCATAGAGTTTTCCCTTTGGCTTTCCACCATTTTAAATATATTTTTCAAGGGAAAAACAATACCGATATATCGGTATCGGCCATGCCTATATCGGTATCGGCCTATATCGGTATCGGCCTCAAAAAATCTCATCGGTCGATCCCTAGTATGCACCTATTCCTAGGATTATTTAGTGCAATATTTGTTCGAATATTATTATTATATATATAATAATTAACCCCAAAATATGAAAAATTGTCGGGTTCCTGGCTGCCGCACGTGTGCACTTCATAAGGAAAAGCGCTTTTCTTTTTGTGAACAATCTCTATCGACATGTCGGAAAATATATAGGGTGTTCTATTGAAAAAATGAAAGATGATGTTCTTTCTGGAAAAACGAATGAACCTGTATATGAAACAACTTCACGAAATAAAAGTTCGGGTCGTTTCAAACAACTTTTTTATTTGACATTTTTTCATATCTCCGAAAACAAAAGAGTTAAGGGGGGGGTTCCATTTTAAGAGGCGCACCCTGTACATGGAACACACTGCATGAAAATGAAAATTTCCTGTTTGGTGTCTGCAGAACCACATACGAGTTTCGCCAAACAGCCCCCCAAGCCAGAACCCTTAGCGAGAAGAAGACATTCCGAGAAACCCGCCCCGTCGAACCTTTCCCACTCGAAAGATGCTCCCCGAACCCCGAAAGCCTCCCGCCCCCTCCCAACCCCTGACTCAACTACCTCTTGCACACCGCCCGTCCCCATCAAGAACAAGCAGATCATCGACTGCCTGCCCCAAGAACTGATCAACAGGATAAAGGTGAGTACCTGCCATATACCTATTAATAATCAATACGGATAATCTCTATCTGTTTCCATAGAGAAACATGCAGCCGATTTTTGAAGACAAATGACTATCCATAAGGAAAAGTTTTGAAACGATCAGACACATACTGCTTTGATTGAAAGGCTAGTAAACGTCATTGTCCACCGAAACGCATGTCTTTGATGACTACTATAATAGCGCATGGCGCATGCGTATCATGCCACCAAATCCTTATGGATATTCATTTGTTTCATATTTTTGGCTTCATCCTGGCACCCGTTATGATCCGTATTGTTTATTAATACGTATATGGTACCTGCACGATCATGTGAATGTCGCCATATTGGTTTGAAATGAAATGTCAGCTGGACATTTCGGATTGAATATTTGGAATTTATAGTGAATTGGCGAGGACACAAATACGTACAGTCTGTATAATATTTCTTTGCGTGTGAATAATGATGGAAGTAAGATATGGTGCGCGTATTCGGCCATTATTACGTATTGAAAATTTCAGAAAAATCACTCGACTGCCTACTATGATTTCTCTACGTCACAACGAGCGAGACGTTGATTCTACGTTTTCCCGCTAGATGATGATGCTACTGTGACAAGTCGAATTGAAATGGCAAATGGCATTTTAGGTACGCGGAACATATGTAACAGTGGGAATATTCAACTCTGAATTCGAAAAATTTGCGACAATTTCAAAACTGACAGATGTCATAATTGTGCAATGTCGCCATCTATTAGAAGATCGACGGAACCATTGCTCTCGTTGTTCTCGAGAGGTCGAGTAAAAGTTTTGAAACAAAAGCGCATCAGTAATAGGGGAGAGCACTGATTTTTTGAAACGACATTATCGTGAACTCTATACTGAAAAACTACCAGTGAATCAATTTTGTATTTTTTCATTCATGCTAAGACGATGAAAAAAATAAATTAGAATATGTCCATTTCAAAACACAATACCTGCGCCATTCGAAATTTTGTCAATTCATTGGTGTGACTGGTGCGACGTCTTAGTCCCAACACGCCTATTGTCCTTGAACTCACCAATCATACTGCAACCGTTGATTGATATATTACGCTTAAACGGTTAACGCTGCAACACTGCAGAATGACGAGGTATCAGAGAGAGATAGCTACATTGCGGGACTAATACGTCACGGCTCCACCATCATATTTGGCTTTTCGAAATAAAGAATGAAATATGCTGATTTCAAAACGATATAAACTACTCAACACTAATTTCGTCGCACACCAAAATGTCGCCCCTGATATAATGTGAATAACTTTTTTCAGTTTAGAACAATTTGAATTTGGTTCACACTGTTCGATAGCCCAGTCCTTCAGCTATAATCTCGTACTCCATTGAAACATGAGGGTATTCACATAAAATCTCTACATGGTGTTTTCCGACACTGTGCAAAATTTCGGAATATTCAAAAGGCTCTCAAATGGTGAAAACATTTTTTTTCTCAACTTCGACAACAGAGGCATGAAGATGATCTCATTACCTCGAGAAATTTCGCGAATTAACTTCCTATCTCTCTTATTTACAGAGTGATCTCAAAAAATCGACTTTTTGGTTCTGCAGCCATAACTAAGAAAAATATTCACATCATAACAGGGGCGACATTTTGGTGTGCGACGAAATTAGTGTTGAGTAGTTTAGATTCGATTCCCTTTAACTTCAACTCATAATATTAATTGTAGATCAAACGTAAATCATGAATCGTCGATTGAAAGAGGTTTGCACGGATTTCTTCCCTCAGTGGTCTTCCCCATTACACCATATCTTACTTCCATCATTGTGTTAATGAAATTAGCATAGAACTACGTGCAACTTGCTATCCTCTTCAGACTTGCATATAAAGCAGCAATGTCTAACATGACGTTTGTTGACATTAGAGTCACTGGATGGTATTTGTTACATAAGAGTTCGGACACAGCTGAACTTCTGTCCTTTTATATTTTCTATATACGACTTCCACAACCAACTACCAGGCATGTTACAGGCATTTTCTCGTAATAATATCACTAAAAAGCCACAAGATACAATAAAGACTTTGGTACATTCACAAAAACACAAATCTCACAACTTTTAGGCGCACTAAATTCAACAGTACAATATACAAACAAAGCTTTGTTTGCCCTCAGCCGCCATATTGAATAAATTTTGACAGGTCGTTGGAATGCCTAATTTTCAATTTCCCTAGTTGCGCTTGACTGTCAGATACGATTTTACAGGTTAGATTTTCTGTCAAATCAATCATTGTCGTAGATGGAAAATAGAAATAGGATTTAAACACCCACTTCAATATATAAAGCGATACACTTTTCGCAGAACAATAGTTATAAAAACGATGACTTCAACAGTCTAATAGTTATTTGTTTTACTAGGCAGAAAAGTACAAGATATAATGCCGCGGCGAGGAAACCAGCCAAGGCATTACATCTTTTTTTCTGCCATGTGAAACATACAGGGTGTTTCAAAATTCAGTATCAAGATTTTAGGGGCGTATTTTTCAGGTCAAAATAAGACGTTTCGTTACCGATCTACAGAGCGTTAAAGTTTCAAGATTTTTTTATTTTTTTCTTCATAGCTCTTTCAATTTTTGAGATATTAAGATCAAATTTGGAATGTAGGTTACGTTCTAGGGCTTACATCATCCAGCATGCCGAGTGATTGTGAGAATCTACAGGGAGATATTTTTTTCAGGGGTCAAGCCCTTTTTTACCCCATAAACTTTTTTGTGGTGCGCCGCTGGTGAATTCTGCGATACGAAATGAATTCTTTGTTTTGTTTATAAATTTTTTTGTCTCTTGTAATTTTCACGCATCTGCGATCGTTATCGAGAAAAAAGTATAATCAATTTTTGTGATTCGCTACATTTAATTAAAATTTTCAACGGAACAATGAAAAAGCGAATTAGTGGGCTTTGACTGCTATTTTCATTTTGACGTTTAGGTTTGTTTTGAAGCATTTGACATCATTTGAAAGTTGGTGGATGTCTCATCGTGTATTTGTTCAACTTTAACGCTCTGTAGATCGGTAACGAAGCGTTTGTGGACACATGTTTATAGAAAAAAAAGTCTTATTTTGACCTGAAAAATACGCCCCTAAAATCTTGATACTGAATTTTGAAACACCCTGTATAATTTTTTCTCCAAATTCCTTTCAATTTTCCGCAAGTCCAAATATCCATAATTTTTTATTCACCCAAAGTCATTGTCAATTTTGATTACCAATTTGATTGAACCCTTTTTTTGCCTAGGCAGTTAAAGCACACCTTTATGCCTGTTAAGTGTCATTAAAAATCCACTTTTAATGTCATTTGGAGAAAATAGTACTTTTAAGTGATCTTTTAAATGGTTTTGTCAGTTTTAGTTAAAAATATCAAATTTCTGAGGTATGACCTCCAACTTATATTTAAAGAAACGACAAAACCAATCAAAAGATCACTAAAAAGTACCATCATAATGTTGAAGTCGTCTTTTCATACGATCGATTGTTTTCGAGATACTCGAGAAAAACGAAAATACAAATTTTCAGTTTTCCTTGAATAACTCTAGATAGTCAAGATTTCTCGACGGATTCTGAATCAAAATTGAATTTGATGAAACTTTCGTAATTCAATCGAATTTAGAACACACTGTATAACCATGTGAATGAACTGTGAATGTGAACAGTCCGCGCTTTATTTTTCATAGGGTATCGAAAATACCTACTAATAACAGCATTTTTTCCGTCCAATGTTCTAACTGTTTAACATTTTTCGCTCATCACGAGTATTGAAGGCTGAAATGCGAAAAGCTGTCATTTGTTTCCAGCCTTGAGGAGGACGCGCACTGATTCGACTCGGATCGGTCGACTCGGCTCGGAATGGTCGGCACGGCAGCTTATACCGCGCACTGAATCGGCACATTTGGTATGTCTTTAGCAGCCGTCTACACACATGTAGTTTGTCTATAGTACAAATCAATTCAAACACAAGTGAAAATTAGTTCATCTGAATCTTAGAAAGATATTTTGATTGCCTCAGCATATGAAGAAATAGAAAAACGGAAATCTAGGTTCTGATCCATAACACCAATCTCAAAAGAGGAATGTCGTGGTAGTACCTAGTTTAGGGATCATACAATATGACTCCTCGCCAAGCGTCCATCTTATGGCTTGCCTCCCCAGCTATGTTCTCTGCTAGCTAGTTTTCTCTCAAACAGGTCTTTCCATGTAGTGGTCGACGGAGTTTCATCTGACTCTCTTATCATAAATGCTGGTGTTCCGCAAGGATCAATTCTAGCACCAACACTATTTCTACTCCATATCAACGATTTGTTGGAAGCAACTTCATGTCCAGTACACAGCTTCGCGGATGATATTCCTCTTCCAGGGCTCCAATACCAGCCAGGCACATCAGAAACGAACGAGGGAGAAATGTTGACAACATAAATATGGACTTGGCAACAATTCTCGAATGGGGATCCAATAACTTGGTAGATTTCAATGCAAACAAAACACAAGCATGCCTTTTCCCTAGAAAAGCCGATCTCACTGAGGCACAGATCCGACCTGTCCTGGAATACTGTTCCTATATTTGGAGTGCAGCACCCAAACATACCCTGAAACTGTTGGATTCTGTCCAAAAAAGGGCAATTCGTCTCGTGGGTGATGCCTCGCTCACAAACTCACTCACTTCTCTGAAACACCGTAGAAAAGTTGGCGATATGGCATTATTGAGAAGAGACTTGCGCCTCCACCACGTGTCGCAACTCAGATGTTGACCCTCCTATAGGTCGTGACTTAGCTACTCGCTTGGCTTTTTGACGAGAGGTTTTGATCATTTCACTACCCAACCATATTCATCCTCAAATAAAGAGAATTGTTCTTCAAAAGTACAACAAGCAATTTATTCAATCATGAAATCATAAAATGTGCCAGAAGGGCGGAACAGCAAAGAACAAACATGAAACGAGCAAACAACAGAAACAAGATGATGGTTCTTAGTACTTACATTATGTTATGGGCAGCAGCACCATAGTCGAGGAGATGTCACACCCCCAAAGTGGCATAGTGCCACTTTGGAAGTCAGCAATCAATGAATGAGTGTTATGTACGATTGAACTAATAATGACTTGTGTTGATAATGAATCGATTCCTTATCGACTCAGGTACTATTTATATTCGGAATCGATGCTAGGTTCGCAATTTTCCACAATGGGAACGATCGTTACCTTTCGATACTGCTTACCTAGGTATTATCGCGCGGTAAGCGTTTTCTTTGCAAATTATGAAGGAAATGACGTCTATGAACTCCGCTGACCTGATCGAAACTACAATGTACTGAATGCTTTAATTTGGAAAAGTTAATTAATGATAAAAGATCTTGATCTATTGTTCCTCCCTTGGCAGTCCCCGCGAGATAGACCCGTCAAGTTGAGGCTTCGCACCCCTTCGTGGTCACTTTGGAGACCTGCAGAACGTCTCTTTCCAAAGACTCGTTGCCAAGGGAGGTGTTCCCCGAGGCATATAACCTCTAGAAATTTAAGAAGAACACCAATTCCTACCTTATTTCTCTTGGCTCTCACGATGTCCTCTGAACATTGCAGGTTATCCCTCTTCGTGGGAACCAGAACATAAAAAGAATGATATATCCGTCATAACTTTGACATTGCAGCCTCGTTCATACACTTAATTGCCTCAAAAACCGTACAAGCACTGAGAGCAATCAGCGCAATCGGCAGTTTTTGCCCCATCTATCATTCTCTGCCGATGAAGAGATGATCTGGCCGGTCTAAGCCGACCATACCGATTCAGTGCCGAGTCGAGTCGACCGATCCGAGTCGATTCAGTGCGCGTGGTCCTTTACTCCCCTTTCCGCAGCAATCCGGCAAACGCAAAACCATCAGCGTGATCGACCCGGTACTGCCGACCAAAAAGCGGGGCCACCACCGGGACTCGTCGGGCGGGCCCAAGGCTGCCCCGCTGCCGCCCTCGGGGCTGGAGCGCGTGCGCCTCGACCACGACTACTGCGCCTCGGGCGGCACTGGTCGGGGCGGCAGCGGCGGGGCGGGCGTCTACCCGAAGCACCCGAAGATGGACTCGGGCTTCGAGTCGGCCGAGGAGGAGGAGCAGCAGCGGGCGGTGATGGGGGGACAGCCGATGGTGAAGAACGCCGACGGGAAGTTGATGGTGTCTTTGCTCAAGGTGAGGACTGGGTTTTCAATCCGGGATCATAAAAATTTCGATTTGTTTTGAAATGAGAGTAGCAATATTCCTTTTTTTATTTTTACCCTGGGCCTGTTGGTGTTTCTAAGGGCATATTATATTGTTACCAAGCAAAACGTAGATTGAAAAGGAATATTCTCAGATATATTTATGAACACAAAAAAATGGATATATATACAGTGTGTCCACCTTAAGGACTTACCACACCTGTAAAATCGTTATTATCCGACCAATTTCAAAAAACCTTTTTTTGTTGGATAGGTATTTGAAATGCCCATCCAACGAGAGAGTGATCTAATTCTTGGACTGTTATCGTGGCCAACTGCGACAAATTTCAATGACGCATATTCCAGAAAGTACTATTAGGGATTTTTTCTACGAAACTTGATGATGCATTCTGAATCAGTACCACTTGAAATATACCTGTACCGATTTTCATCATCATAAAACACAGGGTGTCCGAAAAAACGAATCATCATTTTCTTCAAATAGGTGATCAGCAAATGTAGTTCTGTGGTTTTTTTAGAAAGAAATAATCACAAATTATCATTGAGGATTATTTCAAATATACCTGTACCAATTTTCGTCATTTGAATATACAATGTGTATGAGAAAAAAATTAAAAAGGATAGGTAAGCAATATTTTTCATCCTGATAATTCTTCACTCAAAATAAAAAGATGAATCAGGGTCACTTGGAACATACCTGTACCGATTTTCATCATCATTAAACACAGGGTGTTCGAAAAATCAAATTAATACATTTTTTTGAGTTGATGAAAAAATATTGCCTACTTTTTCTTTTTAATTGTTTTCTCATACACATCGTATTTTTGAATGATGAAAATCGGTACAGATATGTTCAGAGTGATCCTCAATAATAATTCGTTTTTTCGGACACCCTGTGTTTTATGATGATAAAAATGAGTGAAGGTGTTTTTCAAGTGATCGTGATTCAGAATCCATCATTGTTTTTTGTGAAAAAAATCCCTAATAGTACTTTCTCAAATATGGATCAATAAAGTTGGTCGCAGTTGGCCACGATTACAGTTCATGAGTAAAATCACTCTCTTGTTGGATGGACATTTCAAATACCTATTCAACAAAAAAAAGTTTTTTGAAATCGGTCAGATAATAACAATTTTACAGGGGTGGTAAGTCCTTAAGGTGGACAGACTGTATATGTGAATTGGGCGTCCTGATTCCGAATCTGAAGTGATTTTCGACCTATTTTGACTCCTAATATCATTTTCCGGAAATTGGAGTGGTTCCATGGCTGTTGGCGAGCAGTGTATATCACTGAAGATTACCCCATTCGGTCATAGAGTGTATTTTTGGTATATCTCTCGCTCCAGCAAATTTCAGGATCCTTACCCAACGATTACTTAAGATACAGGGGTGTTTCCATTAGAAGTGTGTCACACTGTATGTTATTTTTGAGTAAGGATTTTATTTTTTCAAATTCCTACTGTAACTTTTCACATCTGGGAATAAAACGCAACTGAATTCAATCTCGAATACAATATGTCAAATGGAACACCATGTATTTTATCGCATTTTTATATTCTTCCTGAGCTGATTTGGGTCTACCCAAAAAGATATTAGGATTTTTTTTGTGTCGTAACTATTCATTATCGGTCAAAACGGCTCACATGTCCCAATCTCAACTTTTAATTCACTATTTACTGATATTTAATCGGAACAGATACAGGGTGGTTCAAGATTCAGAATTCTGTTCACCCTGTATCTGTTACCATTAAATATCAGTAAATAGTGAATGAAAAGTTGAGATAGGGACATGTGAGCCGTTTTGACCGATAATGAATAGTTTCAACACAATCGAGTTGAAAAATCTGGATTTTCAACATCCTATATTTCTATAATCATTTTCGATAGACCCCAAGTGTGATGTATCGATGAAATCAGCTCTTCAGGAGTTGAGTTCGGTATTGACATCAGACTGCTCCGATCAATCTGTGTCATTCGTTTATGACATGTAGATGTAGGGGAATTAAATCTCATCCGTTCGGCAATTAAAATCGGAGCGATTCGACGACGATCTTCATGCTCCGAGAATTTGGACTGAGCAAAGCGATTATTATTTTATTATTCCCTTTTGGTGAATTTCTTGAGAAAATTAATGTTAAACAACAAATCTAACCACATAAATCCGTTGAGTAATTTATGTCTTAACAAAAATTAAAATGCTTAAGACAGATTTGTCATTGACAGCGCTCTGCACCGTTCGTTTATTCCAATTAATATTTCTAATCCGTGGTCACATGATAAATAAATCCCTCGCATCTCGGATGGAATTGCCGAACTCGACTAGGAAGAATCTAAAAATGCAATAAAGTACAGGGTATTCTATATGAAATAACAAAGTTGTTGCTACTTTTTGATAGAAGCGGTAACACTGCATTGATGAAAATATTTTAAATGCAAAGAGCGTATTCTAAAATATAAGCATGCATATTTTCATGGATTTCTCCCAACTGATTCTCGATATAGAGATTGTGTATGCTCATCGTGACATACCCTGTATATATACCCACGTATAATCGAAAATATACTAGGTAGCTTAACTCAATTGAACGTTCTGATTGGTTTAAAATCATATGAAGTAAATAATCTAGGATTCATCAGATATTGCAGACAGCTAGGTTTTGTATATTGTCAATGGAATTTCATGAATATTTCCCATCGATAAATTGCACCTGCTTTTTGTATCACTTGAATCACATAAGTTATCAGCCCCTTCATAAGAATGAATCATTAATTTGTTTCAGAGAATGCATAATATATGTTTGTTTTAAATTTACTGCACATTCAAGGTTAAGAGTGATATTTTTCTAAATAGTTTTTTTGTTTATTCAAAACAATCATTGAGATTACCAGTAGGTGCATTCTTCAATTGTGATAGTGACCGAGTGTGTTTTATATAAAAAAATGTTCCTGAAGTGGTATGTTAGTATTCAATTTTTGCATTTTTTACGTAAATGGAAATCCAAAGCTCGTTAGTGGTAAACTTATATCAATGAGTTTATCACCTCCAAAACTTTGGTACATCAGAAGATATTGGTACTATCTTTTTGTAGTTCATAATACTTGCATATAAATAGAAAGTACCTTATCTTACAATTTTACAAAAAAGATAGATACACTTTCATCTTAACAGTTGAAAGTAAAAAATTTACTTGAAATAGATCATGGAATGGGTAATGTTCATTGGTTTGACTGAATTGCTTTTTAGTTAGTGATAATTTCACAAAAATATTGCATTCAGACTCCCAATACAGGGTGTTGCAAATTCATTTCTCAGCGTTTTGAATAAACTTGATTTCACTCCAAATGTATAAATTGATGGTATAATTATTAACTGGTACAAATGTCAGTCATTTTCAATGTAAACCCAATGGAATAATTCTATGAATTTGACGAAGCCATTTAAAACAAGTTTTTTTCTGATATTGAAAAATATTGACATTTGTACAGTTTCAGTCAATTTCTCCAAACCATTAGAGTTTGTTTTTTATGTGCAGAAATCGAATAGTTCATGAAAGCGTTAATTTTCAGCTTCAAATAATTTTTTTGTTAAATATGAGTTGGAGAGAGTCTGAAAAATCTAATAAATATTATCAGGGTCTATGTAGGATTTGAAAAATTATGAATTCATTGTGGAATTTTGGACAGATTCCATCGGAATGACATAAAATTCATACAAAATCCAACAATGTACATCTTTTTATGTGTTAGTTGATTCCTTCTCAGAAATAGGATTTGCTTAATACTGCTCTTTTTTTTCAATTGTTCCAAACGTTTCGCCCATTATCAAGGGCTTCATTAATTGGCTTCTTTAGTCATTGTTTTCAATCTACCGCCGTACCGGTGATCACGTGCCATCTGTCAAAATAGATTCTGGAAAAATACTTCAGATGTGATGAATAATGGAAAAAAATTGGAATTGGAATTATTGGAATTTATTGAATTGAAATTGCATTACATGGTGAAAATCAGATAACAAACATACATATACATACCCATATATTAGTTAAATATTATTATTATTATTAATTTCTTCCATATCCTAGACGCATGACCTAAGTGCATGAGGCACTTGCTTTGTTCTGCATCTAGGATTGTCGGAATGGTATTGTGTGCCTACATGGTGTGAGTGGACATGGAAATTCGTATCTATCATACCATTGTACAGTCTTGTACTAGTTCACATTATTATTGAACCCTCACAAGATCCTGGAGGCTAACCTAAATGCTTGAAGCATTTGTTTTGTTCTGTCTTCAGGATTGTCAGGATTGTCAGGATGTGTGGTTTGAGAAAAGATATTTATAATAATAAGTGTAGGTCGGGAGTTAGAGGTTGAGAGCTGGATGGGTTATTTTTTTTTTTTTCAAAATATTTTTATTAATGTAGTGTAATTTGTGGTAATGTAGTTTTTTATTTCATATTTAAATTGACTAAGTGTTTTTTTTTCTTTTATGTTCCTAGGCAGTAAGTTATATAATTTGGGACCGAAGTAGATAAGTGTTCTTTGTGTATGTGATTTTTTGAAGATAGGGAGAGGCATATTTAGATTTCCTGTTGATCTGGTGTTTTGTAGTCTATATGGGATATCTGTAAGTTTGTTTTTATAGACCCATATTAGGCTGTTGTAGATGAATAAGCTTCTTACATTGAAAAGTTTCGTTTCTTTGTACAGTTGTTCAGTGGAGAACCGTTTTTTCTTGTGAAAAATTATTTTTATAATTGTATTTTGCATTGCTTGAAGACTTTTGAGGTTGTTGTCGAAGAGTCCACCCCATACAGTAATGCCATATCTAATGATCGATTCTGCCAGAGAATTATAGATTATTATAAGATTGTTTCGGGTAAGTATTTCTCTCAGATTGTATAGTTTATAAGTGAGTTGTCCTAAGCGTTTGATGACATGACCAACGTGTTCATCCCATCTCATATGTTGG